CATTTACCACTTTGTGGATTTAGGATGAAGCCCCATAGATAACTGGGAAGAAAAAAATTACTACAAGGGAAAGCTCTTCCCTTTGCATATGTTCACTCTATTTCTGCCAGAAGACAATTATTACCATAATACAACTGGCTCTGGACTAGTTGCCAGTTTAACATATTATTATTCTTTTGGTCAGTATAAGGAAGTATCCCCATAATCTTTAAGACCTATCATTTATTTTTTGAAAAATTATGGAAGAAACACAAAATAGCTTCTAGATGGAAGTTTATTTGGCATAAAAGTATGAGTGTCAGCTCATTTAGCTGAAATGGAGAAAGTAGAATAAAAGGGATGAAATTAACAAATAACCCTCTTTACTCAACAAACATATTCTTCTCCTTAATTGCCATCCTTTACTCATGATTAACTATTTTATGTTACAACTTCTTAAGTTGGCAAGAAACTCAGTGACAACATCCTTCAAGGACTGTATTATTTTTCTATCAATTTGTATCTGCCAAAATTAGAGGTGGACTCTGCAGATGTGATTGTACATGGAAGGGAAATATGTTTCAGTGCTACTAGGAGTGATCCAGAATGCTACTATAGCAGATTTGAGAAAATACTGGAAAATACAGGGTGGAGAAGAGGAAAAGAAAGGACAAGGTGTACTGTGCAAATAAAATTTATGTGACTTTTAATGCATTCTGTAATATTTAAGATTAATAATTGAGAAGGGCTGTCAAGAAATAGATGGATCTATTGTCTGACAAAATATTACAGCTTCTTGTCTATGGAAATTCTCAGTCATCCAGATCATAGTTGTTTCCAAAGATGCTTTTTCAAGAGGCAACTGGATTTTCTTGTTTTTCTTTGAAGACGTTTCGCTTCTCATCCAAGAAGCTTCTTCAGCTCAGAGAAAGAAAAAACAAAAAAAGAAAAACAAGAAAGTCCAGTTGCATCTTTGGGATTACACCTTCTTTTTTTTTAATTAAAAAGTTTTACAAAAATTACAAAATATAACCCAAAACCCACCCACCCTACCCCCCTCCCCTCCCCCTCCCCCCACTTCCAAGAGCTGAATACAGGGTAACAAATATAATAATCATAATCTAACTAACATTAACCAACTATATAGATAAACAAATATAATGCGCTTTAACTCCCCTTTAACACAGAATAAACAATTTGCATATAAACTTAATCATTTGAACAAATTAAAATCCTAATTCATAAACAATACAATATAATAAAAATTTCACTATAATAAACGATTAATAATAATAATAACAGTAATAATATTCTAAAATTTATTCATAAAGTAGATGGAAGTTTCTAGTCCCATATTTATTCTGAATATAATCTATCCATCTTCTCCAAACCGAAATGTATCTTTCTTGTGAATAATCCTTCAAATAAGCAGAAATCTTAGCCATTTCTGCTAAATTTGATACTTTAAGCGTCTATTCTTCTATAGTCGGCAAACAATCCTTTTCCCAATATTGCCCTACCAACAGCCTTGCTGCTATTATTAAATTCAACATCAAATTAGTTTCCTTAACATCAAAATCTACAATAATACCCAACAAAAATAATTGAGGAGTAAACTTTATCTTTCTTTTAAAAATATTTTGAATGTTCCACCAAATTTTAATCCAAAAAGCTTTTATATTTCTACAAGTTATAGATGCATGCAAAGACAAGAAAGGATTTTCTAAATCTTCCAATCATGCTAAATTATCTAAAGTTTTTTTTTTGATTTGAAGGAGGACTTGGAACTCAGAGATATTTGGAGAGAAAGGAATATGGAAGACAGAGACTACAGTTTTTTCTCAGACAGGCATCAATCATTTTCTAGAATTGATTTTTTAAATTACCACTAATCTTTTTTCTAGGGTTAAGAATGCTAAGATTTTTCCTAGGACATTGTTGGATCACAGTCCTGTATGGTTGGAGTTACGTGCTGAAGAGGGGAATAGAAGACCTTGGAGGTTGAATGAGAACTTATTTAGATATGAGGGGATTTCGCAGAAATGTAGAGAATATTTGAAGGAATTTTTTGTTTTAATATGTATAAGGGTACTTCAATGGCTACGGTCTGGGATGCTAGTAAACCGTACATGAGGGGGGTCTTGATCCATTTGAATAATGCATATAGGTGCAAACAGGCGAAAAAACGTGAAGAGTTGGAAGAAGAGATTAAAGTGAAAGAGAAGGCTTTTATTTTGAATCCATTGGATAATAGGTTAAAGGTTTCTATAAATATGCTTAAGGAGCAATTTAATATGTTAATGGCAGATCAGACTGCACTTAATTTAAGTTATATGAAACATAATACATTTTGCAATGCAAGTAAGCCTGGTAGGTGGCTGGCTTACCAATTATGGAAGAAACAGAAGTCAAGGGTTATAGAGAAAATAGATTATAAAGGTAAAGAAGTTTATCAACACAATTTGATTAAAAGGAGTTTTTTAGATTTTTATACAAAGTTATATGCTAGTGAAAATATACAAGTTTTAGACATAGATAAATACTTACAAACAGCAAACTTTCCTATACTTTCAAATGACCAACGAGCTGAGATGAATGGCTTAATTACTTCTGAGGAAATTATTTTAGCAATCAAACAATTGAAGGTTGGTAAAGCTCCTGGTACAGATGGACTAACAGCAATTTATTATAAAATGTTATCTGAAGAAATGATAGAACCATTAAAGGAACTTTTTAATAGTATTTTGTCGGGAGCAGCAGTACTTCCATCTTGGAGAAGGGCTTTTATATTGTTGATTCCAAAGGAGGATCAAGAATTATAGACCTATATCTCTTTTGAATACAGATTATAAGATTTTTTTCGAAGATATTGGCAAATAGATTAATGCTTGTTTTGAAACAAGTGATTCATAGTGATCAATCTGGATTTATAACTGGAAGATATATGAAATAAATCAAATTGTTAATTTAATTGATATTTGGATAAGAATAATCAAATCTCTGCAGCTTTGATAGTCTTAGATGCTGAAAAAGCCTTTGATCAGTTAAATTGGCAATTTTTATTGAGAGTTGTAGAGAAAATGAACTTTGGGGATAAATTTTTATATGCTCTTAAGGCTATATATCAACAGCAATCGGCTCAAATTATAGTCAATGGGGGATTAACAGAGGTATTTAAAATTGAAAAGGGTATAAGACAGAGGTGTCCATTATCCCCATTGTTATTTGTTTTAACAATGGAAATTTTATTAATTAAAATTAACTATAATAAAGGGAATAAAAATAAACAAAAATGATTATAGTTTGAGAGCTTTTGCTGATGATCTGGTTGTAGCCTTATCTCAACCGACTCAGTCGGTTATGGATTTAGTAGAAATTATAACTCAATATGGGAAAGTTTCTGGTTTTAAGGTAAATAATAAGACTAAAATAATAACGAAAAATATGACTATGATGGAAAAGGAAATGCTAACTAAGTTAACAGGTTTTGAAATAGTGAAAAAAGTTAAATATTTGGGAGTATATATTACAGCTTCTAATGTAAAATTGTATAAGAATAATTATGAGACATTATGGGCAAAAGTGCAAAAGGACTTAAATGATTGGAAAAAGTTACAATTATCTTTGCTGGGGAGAATTTCAGTGATTAAAATGAATGTTCTACCAAAATTTCTTTTTTTGTTTCAAATGATACCTATTTTTTTAAAAGATGCTAATTTAGATGAATGGCAGAAGGGTATTAACAAATTTATTTGGGCAGGGAAAAAACCAAGAGTTAAGTTTAAGATTATACAAGATGCACGTGAAAGAGGAGAATTTAAGGTGCCTAATCTAAAATTGTATTATGATGTGGTGGCCTTAACATTGGTTAGTGATTGGCTTAATTTAACAAATAAGAATATACTTTTTCTTGAGGAATGGGATTTATTATATGGATGGCATGCATATTTAATTTATAATAAAAAAGTAGATCAGGTTTTTAAATCTCATATTTTGAGAAATGCCTTATTACGTGTCTGGAAGAAGTATTATTATAGGTTAAATTATAAAATTCCAATTTGGGAGATTCCTGGACACGTGATTGAAGGGGTATCTAGGGGTGTGAATCTGGATTGGATTTCTTATAAGGAATTATTCAATCTGGTAGGGAAGGATTGGCAATTAAAATCTTTAGCTGAGTTGAAGCAAGAAAATATTGTTTACTCTTGGTTTCAGTAGAATCAATTGCTAGTTAGGTGGAGTCTAGATCAACTTTAGATGACGTGAATTTGGTAAAACAGATTAAAGATCAAACTCGAGCCCATATAAAGAGAATTTATAATGTTTTAATAGAATTGGATTCTGAAATGGAGTTAGTTAAAGATTGTATGGTAAAATGGGCACAAAATATTCAAGAGCCGATTCTATTGGACACATGGGAGACAATTTGGGTTAGAAATGTAAAATTTACTCAAGCTCAAAATTTGAGAGAAAATTTTTATAAAATGTTTTATAGGTGGCATTTGGACCCCCAAAAGTTGTCCTGTATGTATCCTAATTTGCAGCCCAAATGTTGGAGATGTGGTAGTTTGGACGCAACTTACTTTCATATTTGGTGGACTTCGGATTACAGCTTCTTATATATCATAGTTTTATTTCACATTGAAATGACTTGTTGGATCTACTGAGACTGAACGACCTAATGTATAAGAGAACAAATATGTATCTGAGATAGAAAATACTTCTGGATTTTATGAGGAATATATGTGGTTGGGAAAGTGCTTTCATGTTTTTTTTAAAAAAATATTTAAGAGTATATTTCCATGATGAATATATAGGAATTGTGCTGTCTAAAATGTCTATCTGAAAATTGTAGAAATTATATTTGCAGCTTTATGGAAAGAGATACTTCATTGTTGAGCATCTCAAGTAATGATTGTATTACTTTTGATTTTTCTAGGTTAAAACTAATAATTAATAAAAATATAATATTTAAATACTGTTTATAATTGAGATAAAGTCTCGATACTATCCATTTACAGTTTCCTGAATGTGGCTTCTATGGGATGTATGATAAAATCCTGCTTTTTCGTCATGACCCAACTACTGAAAATATACTCCAGCTGGTGAAGTCAGCTGTTGATATCCAAGAGGGTGATCTGGTTGAAGTTGTCTTATCAGGTAAAATACTTATTTGTATTCTTTTTTCCTAAAAACTTTAAATATATATTCAATGACTACTAACTATGTGAGGGATAAAAGAGGGCAGCTAGGTGGTATTCTGCCCTTTCCTGCAGTGCAAGAACAAGTAAGAATATAAATCCTAAGTTGGAAATATTTATTTGAAATGTACTATAACAAATGCACGGCCATGTTAAAAAGAAAAGAACAATTTAGAAAGAGGTGACTGCATGTAGCAACCAACATTTCTAATAATGGAAAACATTTAGCCAATTTGATTTCAATTCTTTCTATAAGAAAAGATCATTTCTTTTAAAATTAGAATTAGAAGCTAAATATCCAGAAATAACCTTTTCATATAAATGCATATTGCAAAAGGCTCTATATGGGGCTGCTCTTAAAGACCACCTAGAAACTTCGATTGGTTCCAAATGCAGTGGCATGAGCAGCAATGGGTATGCCTCAGTATGCCTATGTCATACCTTCACCTTAGTGGTTGTTGCCTATAAAATTGACATGGCCTAGGCCTAGTTACCTGAGAGACTGCTTATCTCTCATATATCTGCCAGGTCAATTCAATTCATCCCGCAATATTAGTGCATACTGGGTTTCTGATTAAACAAGGTCCTAAAAGTGATCAAGATCCTAAAAGTGCACATTCTGTGTAACAACCCTTGCCCTCGGTTCTCCCAGCATTTAGATGACTTTGATTCTGTGTTATTTAGAAGAGTCGTGAAGACCTGGCTCTTCACCTGGACATTTGACAAGGGGGGGTATGAGACCCCTTGCTTCATTCCATCTGTCTGCCATGCTTGCCATCTTTTATCTTTGGTTGATTTTATTGCAATTTCTTTGAGGGCTGTAAGCTACCCAGAGTCATTGGGAGTTGGGTATGATGCAGCTTTAATAAATTATTAAATTATTATTAGGTGAGTCATATGAAGATTGTAAATTAATGAATATTGATATGATGAGGAAAATTCACCAACAATCATGACTAAAATGCTAAATCTAATAGGGGACCATTGTGGGCTTTATGCTAGGACAGAGAGTTAGCTGAAGAAGGTTGCTTAATTGTTCTTCAACCAAAATGATGTGATAAGTATTGGATGCCAGGGACAATGTCTTGCTGTAGAACCACATGAGAAGTAAAATTCTAATTACCTTTCTCTCACAATTTGCACAAGTCAAGAGTTTAATTAATGCACAATATATGATTGTACTATAGCCAGTCCTTCAATATCTGCTCCATAAGTTTATTTGAGCTTAGTTGAGTTATTTCCAGATAAATCTGTTTATTATTGTATTTTGAGTGTAATTGTTTGCAACGTAATGAAATGTAGTCAAAATCTAGGTAAGCCATTTGCCTATATATTTTCTTCTTTCCCTTAATCATTTTTGAGCATATTGTCTGGTGAAATTTAAGCTATAAATTTAGGAAAGTTGGTTCTATTTGTGTTAATGATATAGAATGTGATGTAAGACATTAAGACATTCAAATAATATGAAAATATGTTATTTTAAAATATCCATATTTTGATGTAGAGGTTATCTTTTCTTTCCCTACCAAACATTCTACTATGTGAAAGATTTTTATATCCTGAATTTGACAGATCCCACAGGGATAAGCATCTTCTTCTTTTCGAAGAGACAAAGAATAGCATGCTCTATATTTAGTAGCACATTTTAGTAAAGCTGGATCAGAACTCATGTGTTTCTTCATACATCTGTTCTTTTTTGTTCAGAAAGGAAAAGTACATTTAAAACGATGGTCTCTAAATCTGAATAGGCATTCAATTTGAGATGATGTCTTCCCTGGCATGTAAAATTACAGGTTTCTTATATAATGTAAAAAAATAGAATGCTGGAGATATTTTCACAAGTTTGTTCCTTCAGGCATTAATAGATTAAAACTTTTTTAAAAAGTTAGATAGATGCCACCTGCCAATGAAATTCACAGCATCACATAATTGAAAGAAATGAAAACTATTATATAATAGTTTTATCTGAAATATTAAATTTTATACCAGCACTGATTCAATATAAAATTACATTTTACAGATTTATCCTTGAAGACACATGAGAATCATTGCATATCAACTTAATGTAATCAGAGAGAAAATGAGATATTTCATACAGGCATTTTTTTTAAAGAAAAGAAACTGGTTAGAAGGAGTTATTGAGGTTTTGCACACAATTCCAACAGGGGCTCTTTTTTTTTAACCCAATGATGGAATATGATTTTTTTTTTTAGTCCTTTTCAGCATCTGAGCACTAGATTGGACCATATGAAATAACATTGCACTAGTAACTGCCTAGAAGTAAGCTTAAAAATCTAAACTGTTCAAACTATATCCCTCTAATGAGCAAATCTAATCTCAGATTAGAAATGGAAAATAGTAATTTGGTAGTTTTTTAGGGTTAGTAAGCATACCATTTACAACCTATGTATAGTCACTGTACAACAAATCATATACAGGATTACTTTTTATAAGCTTTCCTATGATGTTATTCTGTGGTGTCTAACAAATTGGTTATTTTTCTATGCATCTCGTTTTAAAAAAAAACCATTCTTCCATATACTGCCAAGAATGTACAGTAGTAATCGTTCTTATATGGAGGAAATGTAGCATTGATTATTGTATGGAAGAAAAAGTAAGAAATTATCCACCCAAATTCACATTTTGACTCAAATATAAGGGCATGTATCTGCTGACAGTTTTAAAAAGATCATTTTATTAATTCTATCTCTGTATCAGTTTGTGATTCATACTTATGTCAAACTTCTATGAACCAGAGATAGACTGGCAGGTAATTAGATGATATTCTTTTATTTCTTGGTAGAAAATAGTTTGTTGTGCAGAAGTTTTCAAAAAACCATTATACCAAAGTGGAAAGCATATTTATTGTGTAGCACATTAAAAAAAATCAAATTCAATGTGATGTAATCAGTCTTTTTATGATACCTATGTTTATATAGCATGCTTTTTGATGATCAATTTAAATATGGTCTCTTCAAATTATCATATTTTTTCTAATTTCACATGTTGTTCTGAGCCACAGGCTACAAACTATATACAACCTGATAGGCTATAAACTATATTTTGTTGGTTTGTGGTTCATTGTGTCATGTGAAAACAATTGATGTGTCCAGTTGAAAGTTCTTAGTATATTTTGGATTCTGACATAGCAGTTTAACTAGATTTGATAGACTGTGAAGGATAACAAGCTAGGAATCTTACTGCAAGTCTGACAGCCAGTTGTGGCAAACTTCATTTATTCATGATTATTCATCATCAGTTGATATTTCTGAACTTAGCCATAATGGTTGATGGCTGTGATTAACTAGGATGCACATTCCAATGAGGCCAACTGAAATGGATTGTTAGTGTGATATGAGCAAGGAATTAGTACATTATAGATATAGAGGATATTGCCAGCAAGAGAAAAAAGAAAAAATATTTTTGTTGTCAGGGAGTGCTTAGATCTCCAGAAGTATTTCACATGCAAGAATACTTGCAACTTCACATTTTTTATTTTCTTTAAAATGTCCTGTCCCTCTCATATTTTGTGATGATATATTGCTTTCAAAATTTTATAGAGCTCCTGATTTACTTAAGAGCACCTAGACCTTACATCTGTAGGAACAATATGTCTTACCACTTACTTTGGAACAGAACAAAATATTATCAATCAAACAAATCACAGAGAAACAAGGAGAAACAGGGTGGGTGAGTTACATCTGGCAAGTTTGCATTGAAAATGATCTTAATTCAAGGCTGATTTCAGTTCACCTCTTTTCAGACAGGGACTTTGATAGAGGAAAATGGTATAAGAAATATAATGGCTTTCAGTCAATAAAGTAATAAAATTATTTCTCAAATAAGGATTCAGGATATGCTCCCTCTTTAGATAAAATTAGACAGCCCATGATCTGTTGGGTCATCATTTCAGACATATTTCCTTACCTAAAGAATGAAACAGAATTTGATGTCCTGGCTTTCCTAGGACCCCTTCAGGAGCCAGACACAGCTCCTAGGGAAGAATTGCTTCTGCAAGTTCTAACAGCAAGGCAGCAGAAAACAGCAGTCAGATGTAGATAAAGACTTAGGTGAGAAATGTGAATTCCAAGTCAGCAGTCCAAAGACAAGCAGATGATTTACGGGGCAAGCCAGGGTGTAAATAACTGGATATCATGAGTATGGCATGGTATGTAAGCCAGATACTGGAGTTGCTTCTAGCAAGAGAATAATGTTTCAATGAAACTTAGCTCCTTTCTCTGCTGAATATGCACAACTGTTGTCATACTTTGCTAATGAGTGCAGTGTTTTGCTGCTTGTTCCTGAGTTATACACTTTGGAGAGATGCAGAGATCCTAGAAGGAATTGCTTGGGGAGGGGGGATGTAAGTGCCTGGAGCAGCCCATGTTGCAGCTAAATCAGACCATAGTGGGCAAATATGCATTGGGAGTGGGAATGGTTCCTGCTGACTTCCTGCTGGCTTCCCTATTGACTTTGCTTGTGGGAAGCTGACAGGGAATGTTGGAAATGTTCCTCCCTTCTTCACTTCCAGGGAGTGAAGGAATGTACAGATAGTTGATGCAGTACAAACATTGAAGGAATGGCAGAAATTACACAGGTGGGGAAAACTTACTTGTGACCTTCCCTGCCAGATTCCCATTGACTTACTCCCCCAAGCACTAATTTTGCTAGTGGGAAGGTAGAAAGGAGCATCATATTAGTTCCTTCTGGCTTCTGTATCAACTTCTGGGAAGCTGTCAGGAAATGTTGAAAACGAGAATAATCTGACTGCAGTTGACCATGGCAGTGCAGTGGTGGCACTGAACAGCAGTAACACAGTGGCATTGAAGTGGCAACAACTGTCCCAGATTTCATTCCCATGGGAATCATGGGTTCCAGCATTCTGTAAGTTAACATATTTGGATTTCCTTAGTTAAATAATTGTTGTCCTGCACCTTCCATTTTCACCCAATTTAAGGTTACATACAAACATGAAGTCTTTAATAGTATATAGATTCAGTGGCATAATCCTTCCAAACAATTGATTGTGGGGCATATGTTAATTAAACAAATTACTCAGTAACACACTATAGTGGAGTATTGGTAATGTTTTTAAGGTTTATATTTTATCCACATGCTGAAGGTAAAGCAACTAAAAATGTTAAAGGAAAAGTAGTGATTTACTGGAGTTTAGCATTCAAATGAAAGGGAAAAACAATTGCACTGCAATCCTATATATATGTTTCTAATCAAATTCAAAGAGCTTAGTGAGGCTTAATACTAATGAGGATACATTTATAGAATTAGTATTCTGCTGGTGTGAATTACACTGGTATGATTTAAACTAGAGATTTGGGATTCAAGAAGGGTCTTATTTAAATTTATAATTCAGGAATAAAATACTTTTTTTAAAAAAAAGATCCATAGGCTGTGATAAGGAAGCGTCAAAGCACCTGCAACTGCTTCATCTCTTGAAAGAGTAGGATGAGAATAGCTAGAGCAGTGAACTTGTTAGATGAAATTGGCCCTGCACTGTGGCATTGGATGTCTTCCCATTTTCCTTTTTAGTTTTTAAAAATATTCTATCTGCATCTCTTTTCAGGTAGGGATGTGAAGGATAGTATGACAACCTTTGAATTGTGCAGCAAAGAACCTAAATTATCCTGAACTAATGCAATGAGTTGTACCCCAACTGAATACTAAACCCTTTCAAAAACTGTTTAAAAGGTAATTTTCCCATTTTCTTTTCTAGGATACCTGACTTAACTTTGTGTGGTAGTGTAGTTTTGCTGCCTCTGAATGGTGACTTTTCTGGGCATGGCTTAGCTACCTGGTAAGGTTGGGCCCTCTGAGGGAGATCCTTCATCAGTGACAGGGTCAGGCTTGTGCCTTACTGACATTACTATATACAAATGTCCCCATGTTCATGAATGCGCTTCCCTGGAGTGATTTGATGGAAGCTTTTGGGAATCAAAGCAGTCCCCTTACAGCTTTGCACATCCCTTGAAAGCATACATTCAAGTATGACAAACTCCTTTTAAATATTCACCCTGGAATATTGCTGAGAAATTTTAGAACTACATTTTTGTTAAACAAAGCTAGGTTAAATTATCAAATGCATAGTTTGCATTACAAAAATATATAGGGCTAGTTAACATAAAAAAAACCTGATCTTTGTGTGATTCTTAATTGCTCTTAGATTATAAGGAATAATATTTCATAGATACGTTTCCACTGCAATTTCTCTGTGGTACTACATTTTTTTTGTCCTGTGACAATTAAAATTGCATTACAGGTATTTATGGATTATTGGTTTACATAGTTCACTTCTAAATGAATTTGTGTATTCATCATTTGTGCTCAGATTATTTTATCATTTGTGCTCAAATTATTTTAAATGTAACAAAAGCTGATTTATAGATATCATAAGTATTCTTTTGTCTTCATCCTGTTTTAATGCTGGTGTGTATTGCTCATTTGTGAGGAAGAATCACTCTGCATGCCTTCCAATGTACTGTTATTTTTATTTTTTTTGTCTTCACATGCTGCAGCTGAAAAAAAAAGCTATATTCATCTTGAAGTCCTACTTATTACACACCCTACTTAATGAGATAAATTAATAGGAAACATGTTTGATTGATTTAACATTTTTTTGAGTTGTCATTTTTGTTTGGGTTTAGTCTCAAGTCTGTTTACTCATTCTTATTTTATGTCAAGGATATGAGTTGTGATTTATTTATTTATTTATTTATGAGACTTATATACCGCTTTAAGTACAAGCACTCTCTAAGCGGTGTACACCAGTAAGCAATGTATATATATATTTACATTGCCCCCAACAATCTGGGTCCTCATTTTACCTACCTCAGAAGGATGGAAGGCTGAGTCAAACTTGAGCCGGTGAGATTTGAACCACTGACCTGCTGAACACAGTCAGCTAAAGTGGCCTGCAGTACTGCACTCTAACTGCTGCGCCACCTCGGCTCAATTAATAATCCCACAATTAATTTGCAGAGAGCTTTGCTGGACAAACAGTGGTTTTAATAAGATATATGTCAGTTATTTCCCCATCAACTGACTTGGAATATTAGGATGAAGGCTGTATAATAAAATTGTTATAGTAACAGAGGCTGCAGTATTGGGAGTTATTCCTATTTATGTTTACTTGTGAGTAAGCGTACATGGGATTGTGTGCCTATCATGAACAGAACAGTTTAATTTGAATCTCTGGTGCCTTAACACAGTGATGGCGAACCTTTTAGAGACTGAGTGCCCAAAAACCGGCCTCCTGCTCTGCCTGCTCCATCCTTGCCTGCCCCGCCTGCCCACAGGGCCACGCACCGCCTTCATGGCCCACTGCAGCAGATTGCCCAGGCAGCCCTGCAGCGCCATGGCAACCACGCCCTCTGCCCACACCCCGCAGCATTATCTGCATGCTATGGGGCACAAGGGCGGTGTCTTGTCCCTGATGCCCGGCTGCCATGTCCTTGGCTGTACTGCTCCGTGCGGACTCTCCTCCAGGGCGGCTCCTGGTGAGGAGGGGGCTGTGGGGGGAGGGGGGACTGGGGTGACAGCACACATGCCATAGGTTCGCCATCACTGCCTTAACATATTTGGAGTACACAGGTAGTTCTCACTGACCTCAATTGGGGCAGGCAACTCTGTTGCTCAGTAAACAGGTCATAAAGTGAAATGTCATGTACCACACCCAACTCATGTTACTTCCAATCATTAAGTGAATCACTGTGAGTCATTAAGTGTAGCATCACGTGACTGCAGCTTGCAGTTAGTTTCCACATGGACATGGAAATCAGCCGTGAAGATTGCAAATGGTAATTATGCTGTAATGGTTGCAACTGTGAGGATCATTGTAAGTCTCCTTTTTCAGTGCAATTGTGTCTCCAAGTGGTTGTTCAACAAATGATAGGAAAGTGAGGATCACCTGCATACCCTGTATAGTAGATTTGATACATCACGGAAGCACACAAACCAATATCTAAACCAAACCAAAACAAAACAATACTTTAATCAAGGAATTATCAAGGAGAAAACCACACCCCCAACCAATACTGGTAGGGCAACCTACTGCAAATAACAGGGGACAAACCTGATACTCACTAATGAAGTTACCTTAGTGGATAACCAGTTTGCATTTGTTTTCTGAGAAGACATCTAACATATATATTATTTCTGAGCCCTTCAATTTATTCACACTATCTTCCATTTAGTGGTTGACCTAAACATTTTTTATTCCATTAGGCTACCAAGTTTGTGTTGGTAGCCTAATATCAGTCAGGGATAAAATGCTGCTTTTCCCACCTTTTTAGCTATAAAGAATTAATCCTTCCATCTTCATTGGGACATATATTTCTCTATTCTTTCTTAATTTCTGGAACTAAGTAGGAAGACAAGGAGCCATGCCTTTGTTACTGGATTGAGAAAAAGCTTCCCTGTTAAATCGGAGTCCTGGATTTCTTAAACCTTTCTTATCCATTTTCCTTCGCTGCCATATCTTTTAGATTATAAATTTGAGGGAAGTAATAATATTTAAAATATTCTTTAGGAGCATGTTTAGCTAAAATGCTTTTAATAAATAATCTTTAAAAAGATTTCTATAGATGCAGAACTCATGCAAATGATTTGATGACCACTTTGGAAACTCTAAGTAAATTGTTTTGCATGCTCCACTCATTATTACTATCCTCCTAAAACTTTCATATTTCTGTTTAACAAAAGTCTTCAAATGTATACTCCTTTGGCAGAATGACTCAAGTATTCAGTTGTTTAGATGAGCAATAAACAGTGATAAAATATATGTAGCTCTTAAATCACCATCTTTTAAAATCTTCAATTATCTTTTATTTCACCAGCTTCTGCAACTTTTGAAGACTTTCAGATTCGGCCACATGCTTTGTTTGTCCATTCTTACAGAGCACCAGCCTTCTGTGACCACTGTGGAGAAATGCTGTGGGGGCTTGTACGTCAAGGACTTAAATGTGAAGGCAAGTGAAAGATCTACCTTTACGTATTTGGCATGCTTCAGAATGATATAATTTTGGAGCATATTATGGTTGCACATACCATAAGGCCTACCCCAAAATAAGCCCTAGTTTTGGGGTTAAGCACATGCCTAAAAATCAAGCTGGGGTGGGGGCGTGGAGCTACCCCACCCCGCACTCACTTACCACACAGCCAGGCCTCTCCTCGCCGGCCTTCTATTGCGGTGTCTTCTGCAGCCAGGCCTGCATTTCGCAGTCAGAGGCCTTTCTGGAAGGCCACTGCAGCCAAGAACCAAACTATGATTGAATCCATAGCTTGGTACACGGCTGCAGAGGCCTTCCAGAAAAGCCTGACTGCAAAATGCAGGTCAGAATGCAGCTGCAGAAGAAGTGGACCAGCTGGGTGGGGCTGTCGGTGCTGGAGGTGAGTATAAAAGACATCCCCCGAAAATAAAATCTGTGCTCTTTTGGAGGCAAAAAAAAAAAAAAAAAGACCCAGTCTTATTTTCGGGTATGGAGAAAAGACTTACTTTACTATTAAATATGATTATTGAGAAAGTAAGATGAGGGTGAGGAATTCCAAGTTGAAATAAAAAAAAGTTTTTATTTGGCCCAACATGTTTTGAAAAGGGTATTCCTTTTTCACTAGAATGACTTGCAACTTATATATAACAATATTTCTAAAAATGGTCAGTGTTCTTTATGTACATTCAAAATAAGTCAATAAAGGTCTAAAACAGAATAGCGTCATGTTACAAATGCAAGTCATTTATATAAAAAAGAATAAGGTATCTGCTTGCTGAGCTTAGCTTTTAAAGATAGGAATGTTGCTGTAACAAGTACAAGAACAGTTATCTACAAGTAACACAAACATTCTTAGAACATGTACCAAGCATTTACTTCTATTGTGAATAAAAAAAAAGACTCCCACAAACACAAAATTAAGCACAGGATTGTTTTAACTTCTGGAATGTCCATGAGCTTAATTGACTGGTGTGCTCTATAAAACTGACTGATGTTGATAGCAGTTGTGGCTGTTTGTAGTGCAAAGGAGACCAATGAGCTGCAAGGGCAAACTTTTAAAGAGGAATATGTTTAAATAAAAAGGTACTGAATGTTTACCTTCTGTAGTTAGGATTGTTCAGTACTAAAATATATTTGTTATTTTTTAAATATAACTGTCATATAAGCTCAATAGGGTTTTATTGCCCCAAAGTTAAATATGAGTGCAATTATTTTTCCTAGAAGGATTCAAATTTTGTGTTTGTTATGATGCCCAAATCATCTCTAATTTTGGCTTTGAGAATTCCAGTTGTTTGTCCACATAAAGTTCAGGCCACGGGCACTCTATGGCAAATACTATGTGAGCTGGAACTTGTAGCAAGCATAAGTCAATTAATAAAATACATTGAAAAGGTTGCTTTCTGTGTGCTTGCAGAGTATGAGGAATTCTTGTTTACACAACATGGTCATTGCAGGACTTGCTGTTTCTCAGGCCCATTTTCCTTGTGGTCAGTGCTTTTATTACAAGGATACCCCTCCCCATCTTTTTCATCAACCCTCTGCATGTACAAAGACACTCCATGCAAGGGACCACTAAATATGCAAACCTTGCTTGTTAGCTGGTTTCCTATAAACAACAGCTGTGGTTTTTCATGCTAGTTCACAGAAGTCCACAGAAACAGGTTGAAGGGTAGATTTTGATGGTGATCAATAAGTTAGCCAGACTCTGTGATGGTAAAAACAATTTTATAACCACAGATACTACAAACAGAACACTTTTTTAAATACATCGATAAAGCACTAAGAAAGATTAAAGAAGAAGAAAAAGGATATTAGGAGCCGTGATGGCACAGTGGTTAGAATGCAGTATTGTAGGCTGACTCTGCCGACCTCCAGCAGTTTGCTCCTGACATGGCTCAAGGTTGACTCAGCTTTCCATCCTTCTGTTGGATGAGGAGCCAGATTGTTGGGGGCAATAAGCTGACTCTGTAAAACTGCTTAGAGAGGGCTGCAAAGCACTGTAAAGTGGTATATAAGTCTAAGTGCTATTGCTTTATTTGTTGAAAAGCTGCATATTTATTTTACTTACTAAATATGGATTTGAATTTAGATCATTTCAGAAAGAAAAAAAATCTAGTTTCTATAAGGGAAACTAATAAAAGATGTGTTAGATAATCCCTAAGTGAAGAATCTTTTTTCAAATCTAATTGCTTTTTAATGCATGCTCTTGACAGCATAAATGGGATTCATATATTAGAGCTTCGTTAGTATGTTCTGGAGTATGAAAATTTGCTTTCATGAGAAGGACTGTTACAGAAACAAACCATGGAACGTTGGTGAACCTGTACATTTTTTTTCTTGATTATTTAAAAATGTAAACTTAAAAAAGATAGTAGTCTTTTTTATAAAGGTCTAGTATTCATTGTGCTTGATTTCAATTTTTCCATCATATTGTAATATGGCATAATACTTTTTTATGTTCTTCTCAGGGTGTGGCTTAAACTATCATAAGAGATGTGCATTTAAAATCCCTAACAACTGCAGTTGTGTCCGGAAGAGACGATTATCAAATGTTTCATTAACAGGACTTGGTAATATCAGAACAATGTCTGCTGAACTTTCGTTTACACCTGCAGATGAAGGACTCCAGGTACAGAATATCTAAATGTTAAAAATAGGCCAAGGAATGAATATTTTTGAATATTTTTTTTCTAGTGTAGATGAGCTTTTCACATGTGTGTCCCAACTGTTCCATAACTGCTTTTGGAATCCCATAACCAAACTCATTGTAGAAACAGCACAACAGTTATGGGGAAAAAAAATCTTAGTTACTTCTTATTTCTTCAGTATGGGAGACTTTTCCAAATTTTTGTATCAAACTGTTTCAGCAAGATAAACATGTTTGGGATCAAAAACATTCCTTAGCTTTTTTAGGCATGTGGAGCCTTCTACTCCAATCTACTTCCATTCTTTTCTTTTAAACTTTGAGAAGTTACAGTACTTCATTTCTGGTATTAAAGTTCAAATTGTAAATTACACAACTAAAACTTAATGTTTTTTAAAAAATAGCAAACAACATCCAACTTTGCGTGAGCAGAATTAATTTTCACAGAAGAATTATCTCTTTCTCTCTCTTTTATTGCAAGAAGCAGCAAGAAAAATAAGGAAATCTTTGTTGTTAGTTACTTTGTTGGCAGATGAGTTCAATTGGGGGCAATCCTGAACTTGATCAATAAATTTTATAGCATCTGTACACATTTTAAAAATGACCAACTGGGTAATGAGGAAGCCCATATTAAATAATTTCATGCAAGTTTCAGTTTTTTACTTTTTGTTCTAAACTTTATATTTACTTTCTAAATAATATTGCTCTACATTTTCTTTTTCCTTGTTCTGAATGTGGTCTTCATTTTCTAGATTCCTGCAAGCCCCAGTTTTGAGGTGGGTTTTTGTTTTTTTCTCTTCTCTCTCTAAAGTGTCATATCAAAAGACATCTGGAATTTGGCCTTTTTAGTTTTGCTGTAAATTTCATGTAAGATTACAGATAAATCATGATTCCTTAGTTCTATTCAACTGGAGGTTGTAATAATAATAACAGTATGATTAAAATATATATTCTCAGCGCAGAAATAAAACATTGAGAAACTCTTGTATCATTCCAGATGCATTATGCTGCATTATTTTAAGTGGAAAAGGCATATTTTAGCATGTATCAGCCAGAAGTAGGGATATGGATAATGTGTCAAGACTTCATTATGCTATATCATAACATAGCTAATTCCAGAAGACAAGGCTGGTAATGGAAAATATCGATGTTTTAAGAGATGGTATATTGCAGCCTAATTCTTCCAAAACTTTCATTTTCATTATCAGATATTATTTTATGTATGTATTTATTAAATTGAAACAAATCTTGTAGAAAATGATTTATACCTCTAGTGCTTGGAGAAAAAGATTTAGCTAAATGGAGAGAAAAATGAACTTGTGATAAATGGGATTGGAGATTAGGGTAGTTTATAGAAAGAAGGAAATTATAGTAATTTAGGGCAAAATTTAAATGTATAACTGTTGTCAAGAAAATTGGAAGCCACTAATATATATTTTTTTCTTTCTATTTCTTTTTTATCTTTTACTCTTTTCTTTATTTTATTTTATTTTTTTTTACTTTGTTAAAAATTTATTCAATAAAATTTAGTTTAAAAAAGTTTTAAAGAAGAAAATGCAATGCAAGAGGAAAAAGATGAAGCTCTGTGCTAAAAGGACTAAAATGCTTTGGGCATTAGAGGTTTTGCAAACAAATAGGATCAGTGGCAGTAAACAGAAAGCATCTGAAAGCAGATGTGTTGACAGAAATAGAAATTTGGAGAAAACTCTTTGGGAAGGTTATTAGTTTTGGGATTTCAGGTGACATTTCAGCTTTCATATCTTAAAACAAAACAAAAATATACTATGTCAAACTCTCTCTCTCTCTCTCTCTCTCACACACACACACACACACACATACACACACAACACGGATATGTGTGTGTCTGTATGTCTGTGTTTACTGAAATCCTTTGTATACCTTCATGAAATGTGGTTCCACAATAATAAAATGAAAATTCCAAGGAACAGAAAAGCCACATAATTAGAATAGTTAGCAAATAAAAGATGTAAAAAGTATTTTTTAAAACATTACTTTGAAACCCCAAAGAACTAGAAGAGTTTGTTAGGGCTCCAAAAAGAACACACAGTTTGTGCCCAGCATGTTTAGTCAGATATGGATGAAGCCACCATGACCAAAAAGGTTGCTTGTTTAGCTCTCTATTGTTTCATTTTAAACAAGACATCAGAAAACAACAGAGATCAGAGCAAATGGTGTGCTGCTGCTGCTGCTACTACTACTACTACTACTACTACTACTACTACTACTACTACTACTACTAAAGTTGGAAGGGACCTTGGAGGTCATCTAGTCCAACCCCTGCTCAGGCAGGAAACCCTATGGTGAGACGGTTTCAAACATTTAGGTTTCAAGACATTAGGTCAGTGATGGCAAACCTTTTAGAGACTGAGTGCCCAAACTACAACCCAAAAACCCACTTATTTATCGCCGGGTGCCAGGTGGGCATGGCCCACTGGATGGGTGTGGCTGTGGTGGTCATGATAGATTGGGTGGATGTGGCCAAGGTGGGCATGATCACCTCAATGTTGCTCATGGGGAGGGATGCTTGGGGGGGGCGGGCAGGGTTGGGGGAGATCCAGGGGATCTCTGGCAGGTGGGGCGGTAGGCAGGAGGCTCGTCCTGTGGGGTGAGCTGAGGCAAGGTGAGGCAGGGCGGGGGTTCCATAGTCACAGGGCAAGGTGAGGCAGAGGCCGGGGTGGTTGCTGCCTGATACCATCGGCCCTGCACACAGAGGCCAGCGAGTGCATGGGTGCTGGGATGCATCCAGCCATGTGGGACCTTGGCGAGTTAGCGGGCAGCTGGTTGAAGAGGGACGGTTGCCATCTCCGGGGCATGGCGTGCATGCCCACAGAGAGGGCTCTGAGTGCCGCCTCTGGCATGCGTGCTATAGGTTCGCCACCACTGCATTAGGTCAAGGGTGGATCCACAGCTTAACTCTTTTAAGGATTCATTTCTGAAAAAAAAACAACCCCAGCAATATTAAACATTGCCAGTTTGCATTATGGCACCGTTCTGAGAGCTTTGGGAGCCCAAAAGTGGTGATGGGAAGGCCACAGATAACTCAGAGGCCTAAGACTGCCTGTTCAGATTTAGCAGTTTCCACCATTTATTTTTCCTTTTGTGGCTGACAATCCTGTATTTGGGAGATGAAGATCTATGGATATTTTTATTTCACAACTTTGATTATAGTTGGCCAAAGCTGAACTGCTACATAGTGAAGTTTTGCTGTTGAAATGATAGTTTAGATTTGATCAATTTTTCTAAAACATTTGGCAATGTGGCACTTGTAGCATTTGCACATGTATGCAACCTCCACGGTATTTACAAAAGGTTCTTGAAGTATTTCAAGGATATTATTGCCCAGACTCAATATACCGTGCTGCAAATTAATGGAAGCAATTTGCTTATTGCCTGACAAACAGCTGGCTTCTGTAGTTTCCATAGTGTAATCTGAGCAATTGCTTCCTGGTCAGAATCCAAGCTTCCCAAGTCAGGAATTCTGGCTAGCTACCCCGGGGAGGCAGGCCAAAGAAATCTGTAGCTAACCAAAACATACTGGATTTAAAAAAAAAATCCCCTATGACTTTGATACAAGAAACCTGAGCTTTAGCAGATATTTCTGCAACATAACATAATTTTTTGTTGAAAACTTCAGACCTAGTGCTACCATTCATGTTAATGAAACATTTCTAATTTTATTTCATTTTGGGGAATTCGTGTTTGTTGCCCTGAAGAAAAAGATGTATTTATAAAAATAGGGACTTATATATAACATTTGGGCTCTGTGAAAATTTGGGTTCAAAAACAAAATGTATTATGTTGAAGGCGTGAATCTAGCACCTGTCTGCAGCTCCTGCATGCCCTGAACGTAGATTTCTAGAGCTTGAAAGGTTGAGAGAATAAAGGTAGTCTTGGACTTAGACCACACTGAGCCCAAAATTTTGGTGCTAAGCAAGATAGTTGTTAAGTGAATTTTGTTCCATTTTAAGACCTTGCTTGACACAGTTCTTAAGCGAATCACTTTCCATTGTTAAGTTAGCAACATGGTTGATGAGTGAATCTAGGTCTTTCATTGACTTTGCTTGTCAGAAGGTCACAAAAAATGGTTCACATGACCCCAGAACACTGCGACCATCATAAATATCAATGAGTTGCCAAGCATCCAGATTTTGATCACATGACCATGGGGATTCTGCAATATTGATAAGTGTGAAAAATGGTCATAAGTCACTTTTTTCAGTGCCGTTGTAACTTTGAATGGTCACTAAATGAATGGTGGTAAGTCAAGGACTACCTGTTGAAAGAATTAAGGCATTCCTTCATTTTCTTATGGAACATGTCTGCTTTTCATTCATAGAAAACATTGGCAGGGAGCAGTGGTGGGATTCAAATATGTGAACAACCAGTTCTTTGTGTGGATGCCGCTTCCAGAAGTCCATTCTGGGCCTAAGCAACAAAAAACTAGCAATTGGTTTTGCCGAACTGGTGCAAACTGGTTGAATCCCACCACTGACAGGGAGTATTCTAGAACTGCCTGATATATGTTACTGAGCTATTTGAAGGTGGATTTTCCTAAATGACATAAGGAAGCAGTGCCTATAAGTTATAACACATTAATTATGTTGGACTAAACTGTCCCAATATGTAAGAATACATTCAAAAATCATTCTAAATATTTCTATTTGATTAAACAAATTGATAAATTAAATAAAATGCAGAAATGTTACAGGTTTGAAGTTTAATTCCATTTTTCTTTTCAACTCATCTAGTCAGTTCTAAACAATGACTTAAGGATATCACTGTTCTGTATTTAAAAGTATACAGTTTTCTTATGCATGTATTCTATTGTATTTTATTCACACACACACACACATATATATTCATATTTACTAAATAATATGCTGGAAAAGTGATTGGATTTAAAATTAATCACATTTTTAAAATTGAACATGGAAGCCATAGGTCATTTGGTTAAGTGTAGAATTTTTATGTGTAGAAGTCTCAATTGATAATCCATTTCTGATGTTCTTTAGGGCTGCTTCACTACAAATGCTTTGTGGGTAAGGGAGAAAATGCAAGAAGGAATTCAGTAAAGAGCCTAAGAGACTAGAGTATTGATTTAAATTTATATATATATATATATATATATATATATATATATATATGGTTATTCGGGTTTTCGACGTTTCGACGAAGTCCCATTCGTCATCTTCAGGCTGGTGTTTTCAGCTTCGTGTTTTGAGGAGCACGAAGCTGAAAACACTAGCCTGAAGATGACGAATGGGACTTCGTCGAAACGTCGCCAAGACACTTCCAATTTTATGCAGGAGAAAACCCGAATAACCAAAGACCTACATACAAACACCCACGAAAACCTCAGAATATATATATATATATATATATATATATATATATATATATATATATATATATATATGTAGGTCTTTGGTTGTTCGGGTTTTCTTGGCGACGTTTTGACGAAGTCCCATTCGTCATCTTCAGGCTGGTGTTTTCAGCTTCGTGCTTCGAAGCTGAAGCTGAAAACACCAGCCTGAAGATGACGAATGGGACTTCGTCGAAACGTCGCCAAGACACTTCCAATTTTACGCGGGAGAAAACCCGAACAACCAAAGACCTACATACAAACACCATGCAAAAAATACCTTCCATACTAAAATGACTTTATGTATCTTATTGACCTATTGTAGCAGAAAACACCACCTGATTTTTCATTTGGAAGAGAGAAGAGGTCTAATTCGCAATCACACATTGGGCGACCTATTCAGCTTGACAAGATTTTGCTTTCCAAGGTTAAAGTGCCTCATACTTTTGTCATTCACTCATATACAAGGCCAACAGTTTGTCAGTACTGCAAAAAGCTACTTAAAGGACTTTTTAGACAAGGCTTACAGTGCAAAGGTAAGCAATTTAGAACTAAAACAAATATGTTACCCACTTGCAAGTATGATAATAATGCATTTGTTTAAAAAAAATTAAAACATTTTAATATTTTATTTGTTACTACTGTGTCCTGAATTATATGCTGATACAGTATATTTTCTAGCTGATGGGATACAGACAACAGAAAGATAGTATTTTGGAGAGCAAAGTCTTAATTGATTTGTTTGCAGCTGTGTTGAACTCTTCAACTGTTCTTATCATTAGCTTGGAATATTAGAGATATAGTAGCTTGCACTAAATGTCTCCAGTGTCTCTCCCATTTATTATACTTATCTAATGTATAAAGCTGAATAAAGCTAGTCTATACATTGTCTACGTTATTAAAAGCTGCTAGGTGAAGGCTTTGATTGGCCTATATTATAGCTGATGGATGGAAAATTAATATTGATGTGCCTATCCATTGATAACCATGTATGGAAGATTATGATGAATAAATGCTAAAATTATAAATTAGTTAATCAAATAAAATCAAATAGTTATGCTGTATGTTTGCCAAACTAAAAGGATGGTATATTTGAGTGAAAGTAGTCTGATTTTGTGCAATGGAGCTATGAAGAATGGTTGTGTATAAAAGTTTGGCTATAAAGTTATAGGTTGAATTATGAATCAAAGTGCTAATAGGTGAAATGATAATGATGTTAATAGTGATAATAAAAGGATGGAAGCTAAACTGTGTTTGTAGGAGAATTCATGGGGAAAACTCATTTTGCTAGATGTCATTAATGGATGGGGGCATAGTAAGACAGAGTGCAGAAAAAGAAATATAGGGGCCTTTGGGAGAGTCAATAAAACAGGAATAGTGATGGATTAATACCTTCTTAAGAAAAAAAAATATGTTTAAAGTGCATAGTTTAAACAATCTATCAGTGCATAGACATGTAAAAAGAATGAATTGACAAGCCTGATCTGAGTATGATAAAAGACTGACACAGTGAAAGATACAAAGATAATGAAAAGTTCTGAACAGGGACAGAGCATCATTTGATTGAAAGAATTGTAATAGTAAAGAGGTGTATAAAAATGCATATAAAAGAATGGAAATTAGGATAGAAGAATGATATATTATAATGTGCATAGAGGGGGAAAGATAGTTGCAAAAATGCAGTTAAGGACAGTAAAGAACAGTAAAAATATGTAAAAAATGTGGAGGAGCTTTGTTAAAAATAACAAAAGACTAAACAAGGGGCTTTCAGTATGGAATTAAAAATGGAAGTAATGAAATAATCTGGGATGAAATTCTAGTGAGGGGATGTAGAAGGAATATTTTAAAGAGATATATAGAGAAATCGTATATAGAGAAATATTTGAAACAGTAAAATTGAAATAAATCCTATAAAAGTTCATTTCATAAATTTCTAAAATGAAAGTTATTGTTATTCAAGACTGAAGGCGTAGATGTGGAAAATGGAGAAATAATAAAAAGCAGATGTATGTGTTTATGAAGTGATTGTAAGACTTTGACTGATATGTCAATCTGTTCCTACACAGGAAAAGGGTTTCCCCCATGCAAAGATGTTAGTACATCAACCAGGATTAGTATAACTGTGCCTAGAAAAATAATGGCAGAATTTGGAATAAAATGGTATGGTTAGAATGCAGTATTGGAAGCTGACTCTGCCTATTGCCAGCAGTTTGATCTTGACAGGGCTCAAAGTTGACTCAGCCTTCCATCCTTCTGAAGTCGGTAAAATGAAGACCCAGATTGTTGGGGACAATATGCTGACTCTGTAAATTGCTTAGAGAGTGCTGTAAAGCTCTATGAAGCGCTATATAAATCTAAGTGTTCTTGCTCTTGTTGTTTGGAAGTTGTTGTTGTTAATTGCGAAGTCGTGTCCGACCCATCGCGACCCCATGGACAACGTTCCTCCAGGTCTTCCTGTCCTCTACCATCTTCTGGAGTCCATTTAAATTCACACCTACTGCTTCAGTGACTCCATCCAGCCATCTCATTCTCTGTCGTCCCCTTCTTCTATTGCCCTCAATCTTTCCCAGCATTAGGCTCTTCTCCAGTGATCCTTCCTTCTCATTAGGTGGCCAAAGTACTTGAGTTTCAACTTCAGGATCTGGCCTTCTAAGGAGCAGTCGGGGTTGATCTCTTCTAGGACTGACCGGTTTGAACGCCTTGCAGTCCAAGGGACTCGCAGGAGTCTTCTCCAGCACCATAGTTCAAAGGCCTCAATTCTTTTGCGCTCAGCCTTTCTTATGGTCCAACTTTCACAGCCATACATTGCAACTGGGAAAACCATGGCCTGGACTATACGCACTTTTGTTGGCAGGGTGATGTCTCTGCTTTTTAGAATGCTGCCTAGATTTGCCATAGCTTTCCTCCCCAGGAGCAAGCGTCTTTTAATTTCTTGGCTGCAGTCCCCATCTGAGGTGATCTTGGAGCCCAGAAAAATAAAATCTGTCACTACCTCCATTTCTTCCCCATCTATTTGCCAGGAATTGAGAGGGCCGGATGCCATGATTTTGGTTTTCTTAATGTTGAGTTTCAAGCCAACTTTTGCACTCTCCTTCTTCACCCGCATCAAGAGGCTCTTTAGTTCCTCTTCACTTTCTGCCATTAGAGTGGTATCATCTGCATATCTTAGGTTGTTGATATTTCTCCCGGCAATCTTAATTCCAACTTTTGATTCATCTAGCCCTGCCTTTCTCATGATGTGCTCTGCATATAAGTTAAATAGGCAGGGCGACAGTATACAGCCTTGCCGGACTCCTTTTCCAATTTTGAACCAATCAGTGGTTCCGTGTTTGGTTCTCACTGTTGCTTCTTGACCCACATATAGGTTTCTCAAGAGACAAATGAGATGGTCTGGTACTCCCATCTCTTTAAGGACTTGCCACAATTTGTTGTGATCCACACAATCAAAGGCTTTTGCATAGTCAATGAAGCAGAAGTAGATGTTTTTCTGGAACTCCCTAGCTTTCTCCATGATCCAGCGTATGTTGGCAATTTGATCTCTAGTTCCTCTGCCTCTTCGAAATCCTGCCTGTACTTCTGGTAGTTCTTGATCCACATACTGCTGGAGTCTAGCTTGTAGGATTTTAAGCATAACTTTACTAGCATGTGAAATGAGTGCAATGGTGCGATAGTTTGAACATTCTTTGGCATTGCCTTTCTTTGGAATTGGAATGTAAACTGACCTTTTCCAATCCTGTGGCCACTGTTGAGTTTTCCAAATTTGCTGGCAAATTGAGTGTAGCACTTTTACTGCATCGTCTTTTAAGATTTTGAATAGCTCAGCTGGAATACTGTCACCTCCACTAGCTTTGTTGTTGCTCAGATTTTCTAAGGCCCATTTCACTTCACATTCTAGGATGTCTGGTTCGAGGTCAATGACCATCTCATTGTGGTTACCTGGGATGTTAAGCTCATTCTTGTATAATTCTTCTGTGTAGTTTTGCCATCTCTTCTTAATCTCTTCTGTCTCTGTTAGGTCTCTGCCATTTTGGTCCTTTATCATGCCCATCTTTGCATGAAACGTTCCCTTCATATCTCCAATTTTCTTGAAGAGATCTCTGGTCCTCCCTATTCTGTTGTTTTCTTCTATTTCTTTGCACTGTTCATTTAAGAAGGCATTCTTATCTCTTCTAGCTACTCTCTGGAATTCTGCATTCAATTGGGTGTATCTTTCTCTTTCTCCTTTGCCTTTCGCTTCCCTTCTTTCCTCAGCTATTTGCAAAGCTTCCTCAGACAGCCATTTTGCTTTCTTGCATTTCTTTTTCTTTGGGATGGTTTTAGTTGCTACCTCTTGTACAATGTTGCGAACTTCCATCCATAGTTCTTCAGGCACTCTGTCTATCAGATCCAGTTCCTTAAATCTATTTGTCACCTCTACTGTATATTCATCAGGAATATGATTTAGTTCATACCTGAGTGGCCTAGTGCTTTTCCTTACTTTTTTCAATTTAAGCCTAAATTTTGCAACGAGAAGCTCATGATCTGAGCCACAGTCAGCTCCTGGTCTTGTTTTTACTGACTGTATAGAGCTTCTCCATCTTTGGCTGCAGAGCACATAGTCAATCTGATTTCTATGTTGACCGTCTGGTGATGTCCATGTGTAGAGCCGTCTCTTGGGTTGTTGGAAAAGAGTGTTTGTTATGACCATCGTATTCTCTTGACAAAATTCTATTAGCCTGTGCCCTGCTTCATTTTGTACTCCAAGGCCAAACTTGCCTGTTATTCCGGTTATCTTTTGGCTTCCTACCTTAGCATTCCAATCCCCCATGATGATAAGGACATCATTTTTTGGTGTTAATTCTATAAGGTGCTGTAGGGCTTCATAGAACCGGTCAATTTCATCCTCTTCAGCACCAGTGGTTGGGGCATAGATTTGGACTACTGTGATATTGAATGGTTTGCCTTGGATTCGAATTGAGATCATTCTGTCATTTTGAGGATTGTATCCCAGTATTGCTTTTCCTATTCTTTTATTGACTATGAAGGCTACTCCATTTCTTCTGAGGGATTCTTGCCCACAGTAGTATACCTGATGGTCATCTGAGTTAAATTCACCCATTCCTGTCCATTTTAGTTCGCTGATTCCTAAGATGTCGATGTTCAGTCTTGTCATCTCTTTTTTGACTACGTCTAGCTTGCCTTGATTCATGGATCTTACATTCCAGGTTCCTATGGAGAATAAATCTTTACAGCATTGGACTTTCCTTTCACCACCAGATATATCCACAGCTGAGCGTCCTTTCGGCTTTGGCCCAGTCGCTTCATTCTTTCTGGCACTACTAGTACTAGCCCTCTGCTCTTCCCCAGTAGCATATTGGACACCTTCCGACCTGAGGGGCTCATCTTCCAGCGTCATATCTTTTTGCCTTTTAGTACTGTCCATGGGGTTTTCATGGCAAAGATACTGGAGTGGTTTGCCATTTCCTTCTCCAGTGGATCACATTTTGTCAGAACTCTCTGCTATAACCTGTCCGTCTTGGGTGGCCCTGCACGGCATAGCTTATAGCTTCATTGAGTTACGCAAGCCCCTTCGCCACGACAAGGCAGTAATCCATAAAGGGTGTTTGGAAGTACAGTACAGCATGTGCAAATAACAGCAGGTCTTTAAGTAATGTGTGATTACGGGGGAAAAAAAAAAATTCTACAATTGATGGCTTACTGCACCATACAGTGAATAGGCTTGAATCTTCAAACAAGTTTTCAGAAATATGTTACTGAAAGATAGTTAGCTATTTTTGCTTTGATGCTTTAATGTGTCCCTGAATGTATTTCTGTTGCTTATGAAACTTTCATATGCTGTAGTGGAGTGAAGAATAAGATTTCTCGTAATTAGACTGAAATCCTACTGTGTTCATCATAGTAACTTTCTGTAACTGTATAGCAAAATTGGAATAAAAGTTACAAAATATTGAAGGAGTCTGAATATAAGATGCAAAAAGTATGCTACAAATATACAAATAGAATGCAGATTTTCTTAGTGCATGATTCTTGCTAGGATTGAGATAAAGCAAAGCTTTTTTAAGATGTGAAATGTCATTATTTAGATCTATTTTGTCATTTCCTTCTAAAGATAGGCTTACAAATATATTTTATATGATCCTATATTGTGAAGCAGCCACTTGATTGAACTGCATGGAATAGCTGGCAGGGAAGTATTTCCAGGGAGAGGAGGAAATATCTGGAACTCATTCCCAGTTTTTCCCCATAGGATCAGACCTTGGTTTGTTTGAATTGAGATGTGTTGTCTGAATCAAGAACCACTGTCTCATAGCCAGCTTTAACAATGTTCTTTGTATCTGAAACTGTCACATTATAACCAAGCAATTTGTGCAAATTATGCATCTTTTCTTTTAAAAGATTGTAGATTCAACTGTCACAAACGCTGTGCACCTAAAGTACCAAATAATTGCCTTGGAGAAGTGGCCATTAACGGAGGTAAGTTGCATCAAGGATATTAGTGTTCTGCATTCTAAACATTATTTGAAAAAAACCCAGCAGTCATTTATTACTGAGATGAAGAAAGAAAACATATGTAAAAAAGATATTGAGACTCTAGAAAGAGTGCAGAGAAGAGCAACTAAGATGATTAAGGGACTGGAGGCTAAAACATATAAAGAACGGTTGCTGAAATTGGGTATGTCTAGGTTAATGAAGAGAAGGACGAGGGGGGACATGATAGCAGTGTTCCAATATCTCAGGGGCTGCCACAAAGAAGAGGGAGTCAAGCTATTCTGCAAGGTACCTGAAGGTAGGACAAGAAGCAATGGATAGAAACTAAGGAGAGAAGCAACCTAGAACTAAGGAGAAATTTCCTGACAGAAAAATTAATCAGTGAAACAACCTGCCTCCAGAAGTTGTGATTGCTCCAAAACTGGAAGTTTTTAAGAAGAGATTGGACAACCATTTGGACTAGAATACCTCCAAGGTCTCTTTCAACTCTGTTCTGCTATTCTGCTTAGATCATAGTGTGTCAAAGAATGCGTATGTCAATAAGCCTTGGGATAAACACTTAAAATACTGAGAATAAGATATTAATACACTTGTTGTAAATGCAATTATCTAGTCTTTAATCATTCTAGTCCATAAATAATAAATAAGACAATTGAAGTTTGAATATGAATATATAATTTTATTTAAAAGTAAAATAAATCTTCCTGTTATATGTAATTTTTAATGCTTCAACATAAATGAATTTCATATTGGAGAGAAGAAAGCAGCTCTCGGATGTTCTTCTGCAGACCAACTCTGTGATTATTGACAAGCCAAAGCCATTTCTTGATTTGTGTCTGCCCAGTTTTGGAATACAACTTCTGGCATACAGTATTATTCAACAGTTTTGGAATGAGCTTCTGTCTGAAAAATGTTGTCTACAACTGATCAAAAAAATAAATGAGACATTTAATTATTATACATGCTAGGGTCAGTGCAATCAAGGTCTATCATGAAGTTGAGAATTAAGAACCCCAGACTTCCCAATAAAGAGTTCTGATTTTACAGTTTCTATTGACAGATTTTTAAAAATATATTTATATTCCAATAATAATAATTGATCAATGTTGTACTTATAAAAGACTTTTTTTCAGTAGTGCAGTTTTTCAGTATTTAGAAGCAGCCTTTCCTGTGGAGAATCTCCCCAAAATGAATCAATTTATAGGCAAACCGTATTTGCTTCTGCAATTGTTATGTCTGCCAAAGGGGAATGACTTTCAGGAAATTACACAAGGATGTTTGCCATCCTTAAATAACCAGCGAAGGATAAGAAAAATGTTTATTGAAAATTCATTCCAGAGAGAGAAGCAAGATAACAGTACTGGTATTTACAGCATTATATTATTCTAACTAAAGATAATTAAAAAAAACAATTTGTTTCTGGCACAAAACATGTAAGCTTACAGAAAAAGATGCTAGAAGAATGGCCAATTCCCCTAGTGTGTTTTCAATATTGAATAAAGCTGGTAAGAAATTACTGTGAAATATTTAATTGTAATATTTTAGATTTATTTTCAGTGTTTAGAAAATGAATACAGTATCTAAGATATGTGTGACAAAGATTTGAGTTTTATATGTTGCCATTGATTTGATAAAATATTATTTGTTGTAATCTGTGGATATTTTTCTAAAATGTGTATGTATTCTTACATATTTACAGGCTTAGCTCTTATATTGTATTGCACTATTTTATTCATTGTGGGCTACAGTACTAAGCTGCTAAAATTTTGTTTAATTTTGTCAATAGTTCTATTCATCATCATTTGCTCTCCTCTCCTTCATAACACCTGGTGATTTGCTCCTTCATCAATGACTTTGGCTTTATTTTTTTAATATATTTTCTTCCCCTTTTCTCCTTTTTTGAACAGTTTCTATGAAGATTTTGACTTAATCTGGTTTTGTAATTTATACAATTAGATAAACTGAGATTAAAAACTAGTTACATCTAACTACATGACATGTTACTTATTATTCATACTTTTCACTCACTTGTGTTGCTTTCACCTATGTACATCTGATTACAGCAGATGGAAGCCAATATTAGATGATCTTAAAAAGCTAAAAAAATAGATATGAACAAAAAGATGAACAAAAGATGAACAAAAAAATAGAGAGTGTTATATTAGGCAAAGAAATTGAAAAATATTGAAGGCAATCAATACCCTTGGCCATAGCAAACTATTTTTATATTGTTGCCAAGAACAATATATGTGCATCTGTGGAATAGTTTATCTTTATATTATATTCATCAGGCAACCCACGAATATACTAAGGTAGAAGCTTGTCCACCCCATGGTTAAAATACCCAGACACAAACTGAGCAATGTGGTATATGCAGTACAATGCCATAAGCCATGTGCAGATCTGTACATTGGGGAAACAAAACAACCAGTTCATAAATGCATGGCACAACATAGGAGAACAAACTCATCAGGACAAGATTCAGTGGCCCATCTGCATTTTAAAAGACAAAGGATACTCTTTCGAAGACAGCAGAATCCACATTTTGGATAGAGAGGACTGCTGGTTTGAAAGAGGGGTCAAAGAGGCCATCTATGTCAAAATTGAACAGCCTTCTCTCAACAGAGGAAGGATATGACATCATCTATCTCCAGTCTACAACACAGTCCTTTCAGTACTTCCAAGAAGGCTTCACACCCATTTGCATTAGTCAGGTGACCCTGATAACACAGATAAACCTCCAAGTGACATCAACAGCTCTCTAAAACAGGGGTGTAAACTTGCCATGTCACATGATGTATCACGACATATCATGACTTTTTTGGCGTTACCGGAGCTGGGGTGGACACGGCCTCTGCATGATGCAACCATCCCACAGGCTGGCAGTTTGAAACCCCTGCTCTAAAAGAATGCAAATGACCAGCTGTCTGCAAGGAATATAAATCCTTCACATTCCCCACCATCCAGTCAGAGCTGAAGAAGCTTCTTGGATGAGAAGCAAAATGTCTGCAAAGAAAAACAAGAAAGTCCAGTTGCCTTGTGAAAAAGCACTTTTGGGACAAGCTTTAGGACCTTTTTCATCCCACAGATACAATGGCTCATTACATATTCCTATATTGTATATAAAATTTGTTGCGCTGTTTCTTGTTTATTAATAGGAAAAATGCTTGGCATTGGCTAATATACTAATTCATGGTCACAAGCACAAGATAGTATTTTTATAGAAATTAAAGAATATTCTTGATGTAGTTTCACTTTTGATTTTCTACATTTAATTTAAACATAAAGGTAGATATAGATATAATATTCTGTTCAATTAGATTCATCCAATGACTAAATTTGTATTTATCAAAGAAAAAGGAAATTTTATTCTTCCTTCCCTCAACTAAAAGATCTGCTCCAAAGGTAAAGAGCCCTCCAAAGCAGATTTAGAGACTTGAGGATGAGATGAGGTTTACTTATGTGATGTGAGATAATGTAGCCAATTCAATTTGAACTATTTTTCCAGACTGCTATACCAATGTAGTTTTTTAAACATTCCAGACTTGCTTAGCCCAGGAACCGAGACTGATATAGTGATGGAAGAAGGAAGTGATGACAACGACAGTGAAAGAAACAGTGGCCTCCTAGATGAAATGGAAGATTCTATGATGCCTGATGCTGAGATGGTGACAGTGAATCCAGGTGACAGCGGAGACATGCAGGACACTGATCTTGACCAGGATGAAAGTAACAGAATGATCAGGTGAATTTAGCATAGTGAGAGAACCAGTTTGATCTGGTGGTTAAGATACAGCTAGATAGCTGGAGGCTGAGTCCTGCCTTAGCCATGAAAGCCAGCTGGGTGACCTTGGGCCAGTTACACTTTCTCAGGCCAACTCACCTCACAGGGTTGTTGTGGAGAAAGGAGGAGGAAGGTCTTTTGGATATGTTTGCCACCTTGAGTTTCTTGGTTCTTTTCTCCGAGTAATATCATACTGAATAAAATGATATGTGTCTAAATTTAAAGTTCCATGTTAGTTTTATTGTAATATATTTTAATGTACTATTTTACTGAATGAGTCATTTAGATATAAGATTTCTTATATACGATCTAGATCAGGGGTGTCATGCCGAAACCGCACTCACCCCATTGCCGACAATGGAAAAAAAGTTGCGATACATTGCGATACATCACGTGACATTGCGAGTTTGATACCCCTGATCTAGAGCAATCTTCTGCATTATGCAAAAATCAATTAGATTATATCAAACAAGTAGCCATGTAACTCCTTTCAAAACCTTCTGGTGACATTTCTGTGTTGGGGTGGGGCTATGTAAGTTCATAAATGTAACAAATGAATGCAATTCTAGATATTATTATACTGCAATAAATAGCTGTTCAGAATTACTTGAGTGGAACAAGTAACCCTTTAAATTGTCCCTCTTTGAAAACTTCATTCAAATAATGTTATTTGGTTTACTGTTTTTTTTTTAAGCCCTTCAACAAGCAATAATATCCCATTAATGAGAGTGGTACAATCTGTCAAACATGCAAAAAGGAGAAGTAGTACAGTAATAAAAGAAGGATGGATGGTACACTACACAAGCAAAGACAGTTTGGTAAGGAAGTAATTAGCTGAACCTTTTATTTAACACTGAAATAAAGAACATTCTTTAGGTTACTTTGCAGAAGTCTTGTTCATGATTACATTGTGTATGCTATAGTTTAATTTCCATGTATACAAAGTGCTTCAGGAGTCACACAAAAAGCAAACAACCTGGGATGGTATTCAAAGAACTTAGGTAGTGTACAAAGGGACACTCAGGTGTTCCCACAAAATAGGTTTCCTATTGTATGTATTGGAATAACATCTAACATCTGTAACATTTCATTTAAGAGTTGGTTATAAAGGGAGCTTTCTCTGTACTGAGTAATCTTTTCTCATTGATGTCTATAAGAATAGATATTTTCCACCACATATTTCATGGTTCCTTTCTGTTATCTTATGTTGGTTAGTATGAAGTCAAGAACAGGAGTCCTCAATCCCCTGATGCTGGCCTGTGGCCTGTTGGGAACTGGACCATACAAGCAGTGAGCACGTTTGCGAAGCTGCATCCATTCCCCCTTTTCCCCCCACCGCCACCAGAGGTCCACAGAGCTGGAAAGGTTGGGGACTGCTGGTCAAGAACATCTTGATTGCCTGACACCTTGGATTTATAAACAGGCAGTGTTATTTAATAGATCCTAGTTTTTTGCTTTGAATAGTACCCTGTGTATAATTAGAAAACAATATATAAATTTAATAAATAAATAAATATCCTTTTTCTAACACTTCAAGATTTCACATATAATACCAGTTTTGACTCAAAATGTTGTATGTTAATCAGTTTGTATCTGATCAATTAATGCAAAACGATAAATAGAAACTTTGTATAAATTTTGGCAAACAAAATGTTATTTTATAGATAAATATTTCTAAGGGAAGTTAAAGAAAACATTTGACAAATGTTACCCAGTGGAAAATGCAATCTTCAGAAAATAACATAACAAAACATGCAGAGAAACATGTGGCACTATTGGAGATTGGATTTAACATACTACTTTTAGGCAATATAAAATGATGTTCAGAAGCACTTCTTTGTATTAACTTATTAGTATAAATCTGCATCATTGCATTATTTTATTTTATTTCATTATTGCTGCATTCTTTACTATAATGAAAGTATTTTAATTTTCTATTTCCATACAGAGGAAGCGGCACTACTGGAGATTGGATAGCAAATGTATCACTTTGTTTCAAAATGAAACTGAAAGCAAATATTACAAGGTAAAATGGTTTCAGGTTCAAGACGAAGTTTAATTACATACTTACTGATTTGGACTTGGATGCTGCCTGACTCCAATTGACTCTGGATGGGCACAATATGAAAATAAAACAACAAATATATAATAATAATTCAGCCTATAATACTACTGAGAGTTGTCCTCTGAAGAAGGTTATCTAGTTGCTAGGATTGGGAACAGTCCTTTCCTCTTTCACATGTTAATTCTAGGAAAGAAACTTGGTTTAGTTTTCCCATTAGTACAGTGATTTTGGAGAATCTGATTTCAGCTCCAGTTTGAATCTGAGCAAGAAAATACATTTTTAATATACTTAGTGTGGAAATTGTGGGTTTCCAAACCTCAAATTAAACTTGATCTTACCAAGTTTCTCCAATGTTTCTAGTAAGCCTGAGCAAATTATCTGATGAGTCTTTACTGATGAATTAAACATCCCTCTGGATCTGCTTCTCAAAGCCATGAAGCAGCTGCAGCTGCTTTGAAAGCTCAGAGCAACTGCTTCCAGGTCCTCCTGAGATCTTTTGGACATGCATCTGCATGCCCAGAAGACATTTCCAGTGGGGTAGTTAGCAAATCAGCTCATCAAATGATTTGTAAAAACCAAGTGTCTAATACATCACTATTGATGCCAATATTTATCATTTAATTACTAAACATAATTATAATATTTAAATCGGCAGATGCCATGCAAAATACTGGAGGTAATACTTAAACCTAACCTTTCTCTGAGCTTTTTTTTTTTTAATTGGAGTTTCTAAGAAGAAAAGGTAAAGAAAACTCTCTGCAATTATCTTTTCATTTATTCTAATATTAACCATGGTTTTGGCTAAAAGTACTATCTGGATTCTAGCAGAATATTTGTGAGTCTCTCTGTGAGGGAGATGGGTTGTTTTAAAATGTGAAAGTAAAAAACTTTAGTGATATGTAGATTGTTAGGAACAAGGTGTGAGGGGGATAGGATCGAGCTGTTGCTATTTAGAACAGGGTTTTGCAAACTGTGAGGTATATCTTCCTCAGGGAGATATAGATCATGTCCAGAGGAAGTGGAGTACCACATGACAGGATGAGCTCCTTGCCCCAGCTCCTGCCAACCTAGCAATTTGAAAGCATGCAAATGAAAGTAGATAAATAGGTACCACTTTGGTGGGAGGGTAACAGTGTTCCATGTTCGGCATACAGACATGCTGGCCATGTGACCTTATCATAAATCTTACCATAAATCTACCGTTCCCAAAGTTTCATTGTGTTGTTTTCATTGTTCATTTGTATTCACTTTGTATTTGGATTTTTAAAGGAAGCGTGACATTAAGATTAAGGGGAGCTATCATGGCAAAAAGTTTAGGAACCCTTGATTTAGAGGTTAGTTTGTTAAGAGGAAGATCAGTTTAAGCTCATGATTCTCAAAGTTTGACCCTGTAAAGAACATTTAGCTTCCTCCCCAGATGGAGTACCAAGATGCAAGGACCAGAAAATTATAGAAGAGATAGAACTTCATGAGCTGAGAACTGGATTTCACTAAGTTCTCAAAAGTTGGGAACAAATCAGCTTTTAGATATATAAAATAAACAGAGCACCAATCCTGCAAAGAATAAACAAACTTTGGAAAAGAGGTCTTGGAATAACGTGAATAACCGTTCTTCACAGGAAATTCCATTGTCTGAAATACTATCCCTGGAAGCTGCAAAAAATATGAGTTTTTTACCAGAAGAAGCAAATCCCCACTGCTTTGAAATAACTACAGCTAATGTGGTTTATTATGTTGGGGAAAACATTGAAAACCTACCAAGTCCTTCAGCTAATAACAGCGTTCTCACAAATGGTTGTGGCCCAGATGTGGCGAGAATGTGGGAGATGGCAATCCAGCATGCCCTGATGCCTGTCATTTCCAAAGGAACATCCACTGCTTCAGGACCAAGTTTGCACAGTAAGTCTGAGGTCTCTGATCCCTATTCAGGTATACCACAGAAACATCCCAGACCAGTTAAAGGCTCAGTTGACATCTCCACAACACTGAAGTGGCTCATAACAACAACAGACATTTATTAGAAACAATTTGTTGGGTAGTGAACTAATGTTTAAAAAGTATAGTAGATATACTACTGCAAAGAATGAAATGGATCTCTCCATTTTACCCCAGCACCTAGGTCCATACTAATAGGCAAAGGTTCAAGTCAGTGCTATCAGGTGAGCAGAATCAGAAGAGGCAAAAATCTAAATATATTTTCATTGCAATTTGATTCTAATTTACTTTGGTTACATAGAAATAATATATTATTCCTTACTCTTATTCCTGTTTTCTTCTTTGCATGTGGCAAGTTCTCACAAATGCATGCATGACTACCTGCTGTTATAGTTTACAGTACTGTAATATTCTTTTATTTTATATTACATGTTATAAAATAATGATTGGATCTTTTCTTTCTAGGAAATATATCCATAAGCATTTCTGTATCCAATTGCGAAGTCCAAGAAAATGTGGTAATTCATTAGTTATTTCCATATTTTATTGTGGCAGTATGATCCCCCCCCCTTATTTACCTGCATTTAAGAATAGTTAAACAAATGAAGACATTTTCAGATCAAATCTAATTCCATTCACAGTGACATATGTATTTAAGTATCTTAGTTATGCTAATCTCAGAAACTATAGAAGACATTAAATGAACCTAACAAGAGAAAGCTCCTTCCTTAGGCTGATGTTTTCACTTTTGTTACTGTACCTGCCTTCCTGCTGCATAGCAACCTCCCTGCCTGGATTTCTAGACTTCATTTCCAGATGGGTGGTAGAGTTCATACCCAGAACTGTGTCCATAACACTGACACCATACTTGAAATCAGACTGGACAATTGAATCTCCTTGACCAAAATTGATTTAAACCTCCTTTAACAAAATTTAGGATACTGCCTTTGTACAGAATTCAATGGTGTGTTTGTTTGCTGTTTGTTTTAATTTAAGTTTCAAGAAATTAATTCAAGATGCAAAAATTTGTATCCACAGGATATCAGTGCAGTGTATCAAATATTTCCAGATGAAGTTTTAGGATCTGGACAGTTTGGAATTGTTTACGGAGGTAAGACTCTTTACCTATACATTGGGGAAATGAAATGAAATGTAAATGCAGGATTTCTAGGAATTTAGATTTTATATTATATAAATAGGAAGTTATGCGAAATTTAATTGCATGGAAAACAGAAGACAGAATAATTATTTAGTCATTTTTAACAAGTGGCACAAGATTGTTTATTCTGAGAAATATTGTTCATGATTATAGGATTCTGAAAGCACTTTGCACTACTTTTTTTTTGCATTTTTATTTCTTTGAATTTGAATTCAGAGAAATTTACTTCCCTGTCAGGATTACTGTGCTGCTTTTTTAAAAGTAAAATCTTGCTATGTTCATTTGAGGGCAAGAGGTCAGGCTGCTGATTTCTGGACAAAACTGGCTTCTCTTGAGAGTTCGCCTCATATTCATCCAATTCTTTTTCTATAATAGCTTATGGGAAACGTGTGCACACACTGGACTATGACTAGTGGCACTTTCTTTCAAGTGCTATGATTTGCATGGCAAAATTATGGACTATGTTATCTATAGTTCTTAGAAAAGTTTCATAATTTCTTGACATTTTACAAAACATAGAAGCAGAATTTGCAAACGAAACTCTGTTATGTAGTTTGGGTAGATTCATAGCCCTTTGCTCTTCTAAATGTATATACAAATTATTGTGCAGAGCAAGAAAGAAAGAATGGCTCATAACCTTTGTTCTTATCCTGTTCTCTTCTGTAATTCTCATGTACTGTTTTTGCTCTCTCAGAAATGTTTAAAAAGATTTAAATGTGAAAATATATTGCCTTTCCTCTTTATACTTGATGTGAAAAATGTAGTTGTGAATGATGGGTATTGTTATCCTAGAATATGCTAAGGTCTCTAGTTGGGGAAACCTGCCTTGGGTTAATCGTTAATTGGACAAGAAAAAAATTCCATTGTAAAAGGAAAAACTTAGATTTTAATAAAAGAAAAAGGTGAATTTTAAGAAGGCTCTGCTTCTTAGAACCGATCGTGTTAATTGGCATATTTTTCATCAAACAGGAAAACATCGGAAAACAGGAAGAGATGTAGCAATTAAAATCATTGACAAACTGAGATTTCCAACTAAGCAAGAAAGCCAACTTCGTAATGAGGTTGCAATTTTACAGGTATCTTTTATTTAATTACCAATTATATCCTGTATGTATTTAATTTAGAGCAGGGCAATAAAACTTGCTGAGAAAAGCTCCAGCAGGAAAAATCTATGGAACTAATTTTATGCTGAATCACCAGATAAAGTTCTTAAGTAATGCCTCTTTATTAGATAATTTCTAATCTATTTTAAATACAGGAATTTGGAAATCAAAATGACCAGTATTTATAGCAGTTAATATTAATTTGTAAGATAATTATAATTCAGATATATATCAGTGCATATTAAGGTTCTGTTTCTCCTTGTAAATGTAACAATGTAAGATTAACCCATATCAGTCATTTTAAAAAAGGGAGGGGTTTGTTGAATGTTTGTGTGTGTGTTTGTATGTATGAGAGAGAGAGAGAGAGAGAGAGAGAGAGAGAGAGAGAGAGAGGGAGAGAGAGAAAGAAAGAAAGAGAGAGAAAGAAAGAAAGAAAGAAAGAAAGAAAGAAAGAAAGAAAAAAAGAAAGAAAGAGAAAAATGAGTTTCTCCCTTGAACTTAGGCAGATCACATCTTATGTTCAAAATTATCTACATTTTTAGCAGCAGTGTTTACAGTAAGAAAGCCTTCCTGTATCTGGATCTAGATGTGAACACTCAACTAAACACTAAATGAAGCAGTGTACGTGGTTTTACAGTTAGATGCTAATGGCATAGGTTTTACATCATAGATGCTAAAGACAAGCTCTTTTTCCAAATGTTAATAAATCAGAGGCACTCATGGCAAATTCATAGAATTTTATATGATAGATGCTAATGGGGAACATGTTCTCCACTGTCAATACTAATTCATCATAGTTCACTTTACAGAAACATTTTAGTTTGTCTTTAGGCCTGGTTCTTAACTGGAGATTGTACTGATCACTACATATCTCTGGAGTAAATATTAAAGAGCAGGTATGGTGACCCAGGGCATGGCACAAAGGCAACACAGTCAACTGGCAGTTCAAACCGCCCCTTTATTGCTCCAAATGTTCCCCAAATGCTCCCATGTTTCTGGCAAGTCCCAGAACAAGTAATCACACACACACACACACACACACACACACACACACCCCCTTTCAACAGCCTATGGCTGCAAGTAGTTTCAAAAGTTTTTAGATTAAAACAGCAATTTACTCAAGGCCAAATAGATAACAAAGAAAGGAACATATATCCAAATCTTATGAGTCTGTGGAAATACATGCTTGCCTGAGTAGTTTCAGAAGAGAAGCCAAAATTCAATCTGAGGTTTGGAGCACCAAATCAAGTTTGTCAGCCAATCCAATGGTCAAAGTTTCAGGGTTTACAAGGGAAAAATCACAACACAGAACAAGAGATCAGAGAATTGTTTCCAACCTCGGCAACGGTACACAAACCTCCAATAATTCAGCATTTGTTCCCGACAAATGCCCCTCGCCACAGCGTCTCCTTAAGTCTCAGTCCCCAGGTCTGCCTTGTGAAAAGGGGTGGGGTGCTCTCCTCCTGAGTTTTCGGGCCTGCCTGTGTTGTTCCCTCCTTCTCTCTACTCTCCATGTTCCAGGATCAAGAGGGGGTGGCCCTTGCTCATCGCCTGAGCTCTGTCTCTCATGTTCATCCTGCTCCTGTTCCTCCCTGCCTTCAAGCCATCCCAATCCTGAAAGGCCCTGCCCTGCCTCGGCCTACTCCTCCCCATATTCCTCCAAAGCCAACTATGCCTCTCCCTCAATCTCCATGGCTCCAGTTCCAGCTCATCTTCCTCAGCAGATTCAGGCTCCGATGGGGACATGACAGTAGGGAACATTACTTTGTAAATTATAAAATACAGGCAGTCCTTGACTTAAGACCACAATTGAGCCCAAAATATCTGTTGCTAAGTGGGACATTTGTTAATTTTGCCCCATTTTATGACCTTTCTTGCCATAGTGGTTAAGTGAATCACTGCAGTTGTTAAATTAGTAACACATTGTTAAGTGAATCGGGCTTCCCCATTGACTTTGTTTGTCAGAAGGTCTCAAAAGCTGATCATATGACCCCAGGACACTGCAACCGTTGTAAATATGAGCCAATTGCCAAGCATTCAAATTTTGATCACATGATCATGGGGATGCTGCAGTGGTCATAAATGTGAAAAACAGCCATAAGTCACTTTTTTCAATGCTGTTGTAATTTTGAATGGTCACTAAATGAACTGTTGTAAGCCAAGCACAACCTGTAGTTTGATTAAAACAAAACAGTCAAGTTCCCTATCTAGAGAAAAATGTTAATGTGTCAGACCAAATTTTTAACATGTTCTAAGCAGATTTGTGCTATCCTGGGTACTTAATTAGCACAGCATTACTAATGTATTTTCTTCCTGCCTTGTTATACTTAACGCTGGTGCCAAAGGACTTGAAAAATGAATGGCTGCACAATAACCTAATATTTCATGAAACTTGTTATTGGATGGAGACAAATTGGCTCATTTAAATAGTGTTTATCTTTTATTATAGAATCTGCATCACCTAGGTGTTGTAAATCTGGAATGCATGTTCGAGACACCAGAAAGAGTATTTGTTGTTATGGAGAAGCTCCATGGAGATATGTTGGAGATGATTTTGTCAAGTGAAAAAGGAAGGTTGCCAGAGCGGATAACCAAGTTTTTAATTACACAGGTAAGAGCCTATTAGGATGGACATCAAATATGATGCTAAATTTCATGTAAAATTCAATTCTATAAATAAAATATATTTTTTAAAAAAAATATGTATAAAAGAGGTCATTTAGAGATGAATGTAGAAGCCAATTTTAGCTTTGTTTGGCTTGTAGTATTTTCAGTTTTGTCCTATTTCTACATTACTTTGCAGTTTCTTTTTTTTAAAAAAAAAGTCTACAAGGATATTTCATGTGTGTTTCTCCTAATTTACACATTTTGCATGCATTTTTGCATCATCAACACATTTTTTTACAAGCAGTTTCCTTTATAGTATTTCACCAATATACATATTTTTATTTGGAAAAGTGCTGTGCAAAACTCTTAAGAAGTGTGAATACCAAAAATGACTGTGGCATTGTTCATATATTGATTCAGAAGGTGTGAATTGGTAATTGGATATTAAAATGCAAACTGAACAAATTCTCCAGTGCAATTCAGGTTAAGCAAAGAATTTGCTGAACTGCTTTTTCCTGAATTAGTCTGACAGTATGTGCGAGCCAATGTTTTTGTAGAGTCAGTAATAGCAATAGAGTATTGGTGATGTTTTACAGAAACTTAATATGTTCTTCTCAATTTGTAAATTGTTTCTCCAATTTGGAAAAGGATCATAAAATAAAATTTTTAAAATCAGCTCAGTTAAATCACCATCTTTGTGTTTGTTGATGTTATGTCACATTTCTAGGAATGCATTAATATATAAATAAATATTGAATGGTTTTTCTATGTTACAGCACAGTTAACTTGTTTCTTTACAGATTCTTGTTGCTTTGAGGCATCTTCATTTTAAAAACATTGTTCATTGTGATCTCAAGCCAGAGAATGTATTGTTAGCATCAGCTGACCCTTTTCCACAGGCAAGTCAGAGTATTTTTCTTTGCAGTAATATAATTCAATCCTTTATTAAAACAAATTACGAGTTACTGAAACTGATTTATTGAAAATTTTTAAAATTTTTACAGATAGGGAAAAGAAAAGACAAAAAACAAAAAACAACCCTACCCAACCACCCCAACCCTCCCACTCCATCCCCCCAACCTTCCCAGAGCTGAATATAGGCTTAATTAAAATTTCTAAAAATCTTAAAAAAAGATTTAAAAAGTATAAACCATAAATATATCTAAATACATTACATAAACTTATAAGATAATTAACAATAATATATATGTAAAAAAGCATAAATATTAAAAAAAAATGCTTAAAAAGAAAAAGAATAAAAAAGAAAAGAAAGAAGAAAAGATCTATATATATATAAAAAAAGAAGTAAAATAAGATAAAATAAAAATAAGAAATATAAGGAAAGAGAAGAAAAAAAAATACAATCTATAAAATATTAAGATTTATATATAAGTTATTAAAAAACTAAGTAATATTTTTTATATCCAACTTATGTTGTATAAAATCTATCCATTTTTCCCATACCGCAAAAAACTTCTCTTGCGATTGATCCTTTAAAAAAGCTGAAATCTTTGCCATTTCCGCCAAATAAGAAACTTTAAAAAACCATTCTTGCAAGGTAGGCAAAGATTCCTTCTTCCAGTATTGCCCTACTAACAACCTTGCGGCTGTGATTAAATTTAACATCAGTATAACCTCCTTAGCATCACAATCAGTAATGATACCCAACAAAAACAATTGTGGGGTAAATTTTACCCTCCTTCTAAAAATTCTTTGAATATTCCACCATATCTTAATCCAAAAAGCTTTTATATTTTTACACGACCACCAAATATGATAATAAGTAGCATCCAAACAACCACATCTCCAACATTTAGGCTGTAAGTCAGGATACATACGAGACATTTTTTGTGGATCAAGGTGCCATCTATAAAACATTTTGTAAAAATTCTCCCTTAAGTTCTGGGCTTGTGTAAATTTAACATTCCTCACCCAGATGGTTTCCCAGGTATCTAGTAGAACTGGTTCACCAAAATTTTGTGCCCATTTAATCATACATTCTTTAATTAGTTCTGGTTCTGAATCCAGTTCTACTAGCATCCCATAAATTCTCTTAATATGAGTTCGCCTTTGGTCTTTTACTTGTTTAAAAAGATCTTCATCTTCTCTAAGCAAACCCATATTACGATCTATCTTCCATCTATCCACTATTTGTCTATACTGGAACCATGAATATGTAATATTTTCATGTGCTAAATCTTCCAAAGATTTTAACTGCCAATTTTTACCATCCCATCTGAGTAATTGTGTATAAGAAACACTATCCATCTTAACTCCTCTCCTTATCCCCTATATCGCATGCCAAGGTATAGTCCATAATGGTATTTTAAAATCACTTTTATAATATTTCCTCCAAACCCGAAGTAAAGAAATCTTTATAATATGAGATTTAAAAACCCGATCAACTTTTTTATTAAAAGTTAAATAGGCATGCCATCCAAAAAGTAAATCCCAACCCTCCAAGTGAAGTATTTCTACATTTGTTAAATTAACCCAGTCATTAAGTAATGTTAAAGCCACAGCATCATAATACAATTTCAAATTCGGTACCTTCAGTCCACCTCTCTCACGAATATCTTGCATAATTTTAAGCTTTACTCTTGGTTTTTTCCCTGCCCAAATAAATTTATTGATACCTTTCTGCCATTCATTTAAGTTAACCTCATTCTTTAAGATAGGTATCATTTGAAATAAAAAGAGAAACTTTGGCAGGACATTCATTTTAATCACCGCAATTCTTCCCATAAGGGATAATTGCAACTTCTCCCAATTTTTCAAATCTCTTTGTACCCTGACCCACAACCTTTCATAATTATTTTTATACAATTTTACATTAGAAACAGATAAAGTGACCCCCAAATATTTTATCTTATCAACAACTTCAAAGTCTGTCAAGTTAACCAGAGTCTGCTTATCCAAATTAGTCATATTTTTGGGTAATATTTTAGTCTTATTATTATTAATTTTAAAACCCGAAACCCGTCCATATTGGTAAATCAATTGTAACAACTCTACTACAGAATAGGTAGGTTGAGACAAGGTAACCACCAAGTCATCTGCAAAAGCTCTTAGTTTATATTCTTTTTTATTAACTTCTATTCCTTTTATTTCCTGGGATTCTCGAATTTTAATCAGCAGAATTTCCAAAGTTAAAACAAACAGTAGTGGTGACAATGGGCATCCCTGTCTTGTCCCTTTTTCTATTGTGAAAACCTCTGACAAACCCCCATTGACTATAAGTTGTGCCGTTTGTTTTTGATATATAGCACCAAGAGCTTGTAAAATTTTTTCTCCAAAGTTCATATCCTCAATTAATCTTAACATAAACTGCCAATTCAATTGGTCAAAAGCTTTTTCAGCATCTAAAAATATCAGTCCTGCAGAAACTTGGTTATTCTTATCTAAATATTCTAGTAACTTAATAATTTGTCTAACGTTAGAGTTACTGAAACTGATTTATGACACTCAAGCTTTACTCGCTTTTTACTGAAATATAAAATTATTTTTAAGAAAATGATGTAAGAAAACATATTTCATTTTCTTGAAGCTACGCTCCTCAAAGTATGATTTAATTCTTTGTTCCAATAATGCTTTCCATGACCATAGTCCACTAACATAACTAAGGAACCAGTAACATTTATCATTTTATACTTCTTTAAATTCCAAGATGTGAAACAATGCATCTTGATTTTAATATGAATTATATGAATATAAATTAAATTATATGTGAAAACTCTCATGAGATTTTCTAGATTTTCTTTGTGTGTATCTATACATAAGTTAATTAGCTATAATGGGGAATTCTGACATTATCATTGCCTCTTATAATAATAAACTTTAATATACATGAAGTTACATGAAGATGAATTCCAGATTGTACCATGTTTCCCCAAAAATAAGACCTGGTCTTATTTTTTTTCCTCCAAAAGAGGCATCAGGTCTTATTTTTTTGGGGGGGTATCTTTTCCACTCACTTCACGATGGCAGCACCAACAGCCCCGCCCAGCCCGCCCATTTCTTCTGTGGCTGAAGGAACAACTTCATTCTGCAGCTGAGAATAGAGCTCTGGCCTGCATTTCTCGGTCAGAGGCCCTTCCAGAAAGGCTTCTGACTGCTAAATGCAAGCTGGGGGACGCCGTAGAAGAAGTGGGCTGGTGAGGACAGGGAGGTGTCAATTCATGGGAGGTCTGGTAAGTGGGTGCAGGGCATATGGGGCAGCTCCACCCCCCACCCCCAATCTAGTTTGATTTTTAGGCATGCACCTTGCCCCCAAACTAGGGCTTATTTTGGGGGATATGGCTTATATTAGGCCCATCCCCAAAAATCAAGCTAGGTCTTATTTTTGGGGTAAGCCTTAAGTGAAATATATTAGAGCATCTAAATCTGCATAATACTTCATGAACTATGAAGTATAGTACACTTGCAAATATAGCGACTGAGCACAGATGAAACATGTTCTTTCTGGTGGTGGTCAAAGCCAAAGTCCTAGTGGCTACTGGTTGATTTCTTAGGATGATAAAGCAGTATCCTCCTTTTCTCCTGGAATAGTTTGCTTAATTTTAAAGCAGTGCCTCTGTCTCTATGTGACTTTTGAATAACAAAGAACAATTAATTAAGTCAGAAAATATACATACCTGCCTTTATTTTTATTTTTAAAAGCTTTTTTAAAGCATAGAGCAATCAACTAAATATTTGTATTACAAATATATGAGGAACTAATATATTTATATTGCTAGGGAAATGTATGGTCTGATATTAGTTACATCATATACATTCTATAAGAAACTGTATTTACTACTCCTTTCCTCCATTCTCTCTCTAGCTCTACAATTGTTGCTTATATAGTAAGGCTCTGAATGTAAAGTTATTTCAATACTATTACTACTAATAATAATAACTTCAGAATTCTAATAGACAGACCAAATAACATGATAAGAAAGACAAAAAAAAAGTTTGGATAGTGGACATGACAGCACCTGGAGCTAGCAGAATAGAACAGAAGGAATTGGAGAGGATAACAAAATACAAACACCTGCCACTAGAAATAGAATGACTATGGCAAAAGAAAGCAAAAGTAGAACCACTAATAATAGGTGCCTTGGGTGCAATCTCAGAAGAACTGGAGCACACTTGAATGCTATCAGCATTGGCAAAATCACAGTCAATTGCAAAGTGCAGCTTTACTCAGAACAGCTTACCTCCTATGATGATACCTCTAACACCATAAAACATCAACATCTGCCTGTCCCAGGTCCTTGAGAGGACTTGATCGGTAGACAAAAATGCCAAATCCAGTCTGAACACCTGGCTGACTGTGTGATGAACCATTATGAATTATAATAATTTCACTCTTAAGTGTGATTTTAAAGAAAGGATTCTATGTGTTTTGTATGTATTTAGTACAATTTATGAGAATGCACCAGTGATATAAAGAAGCCTAGTAAGTTACTATTAAAATGCTACAGTACTAATATGCACAACGCTAACACAAATCAAATATTCTCTGTACTAAATTCCCATCTTGAAAGCTGCTAAACTGATACTCTTGTGCATAGTTTATTGCTTTTTTGAAGCTATAAATATATAGAGATTTTAGCTCCAACTATTTTTGTCCACTAGCAAAATTGATATTACGCCAAGTACTGACCTGCCACTTTCCCCCAGTAGGTGAGAGTATCTTTTACAACAAATAAGTGGGATGTATGTGGGAAGGAGGGGGCACATCCTATTATATAAGTAAAAATTAATTTATCTGATATTGGATATAGCCCTTCTTCATAAAAGTTATCTCATCAATTTTTGTACCCAATAGGTGAAGCTTTGTGATTTTGGTTTTGCCCGGATTATTGGAGAGAAGTCATTCAGACGTTCACTTGTGGGTACACCAGCCTATCTTGCTCCTGAAGTTCTGAGAAACAAAGGATATAACAGATCACTTGATATGTGGTCTGTTGGAGTCATTATTTATGTTAGTCTCAGTGGTACATTTCCATTCAATGAAGATGAGGATATTCATGATCAAATCCAGAATGCTGCTTTTATGTACCCACCTAATCCCTGGAAGGAAATCTCTCATGGAGGTATTTATTTATTTATATTTGTACTTATATATCTATTAATTAAACAATATATTCTGCCTTTTCATAGATGATGTCAAAATATAATTACAGGTTGTCCTTAACGTACCTTAATTTATTGACTGTTCAGAGTTACAATGGCACTGAAAAAAGTGACTTATGACGTTTTTCACACTTAAGACTATTGCAACATGCCCATGGTCATGTGAACAAAATTCATATGCTTGGCAACTGACTCATACTTATGACAGTTGCAGTGTCCTGAAGTCATGTGATCACCTTTTGTGACCTTCTGACAAGTAAACTCAATGGGGAAGCCAGATTCACTTAACAACTCTGTTCCTAACTTAGCAACTGTCATGATTCACTTAATAAATGTGGCAAGAAAGGTCATAAACTGGGACAAAATTCACTTAACAAACATCTCACTTAACAATAGAAATTTTGTGCTTGGTTGTGATCATAAGTTAAAGCAATGGTTCTTAAACTTTTTGAAAGAATCGCCCCCTTGAGCCAATGAGAAAGTTGTCATCGCCCCTCCTACCCCAACATAACTTCTCAATCACAACATAGGAAATAATTCTTCAATTTATGCAAACACTTTTTTATTTTCTTTAAAATTGTCATCAGGACATATCTATGCAAATAATTTATTTCCAGTCTTTTTCCCACATCTCAACTGTTTGAAAAATTTTGGTGCCACCTGTCACTTTATTCCCAAACTTCGTGATACATGTATTTCATTATTATCTTATTTATTCAAGACACTTAAATGTAATGACCACTGAAAACAAAATTCAATTGCAAGAAAGTAAAATGCCCAAAAAGAAAAACAGTAACATTTAGTGATTGAATTACATGTGAAATTTAAGACGCAAAAAGAAATATAAAAAGGGTAGAGGCTGCTGTGCAACGCGCATGAAGATAAGCAATGCGCATTCACATATGTATGGCGTTCTGTACTGAAGCTAGCTGGAGGAACATTTGAAAACACAATTCAATCCACTAATAGCGAGCAATCTGATGTTTTTGTATGACAGATATGCAGCCATTCACTGTATGAAAAAGTCTCAAAAGTGTCCCCAAAACGTCTCGCTCTATCGCCCCCATATCGCCCCCTTTTTGTTCCTTCACCCCCGCATCGCCCCTTTTTGTTCTATCGCCCCCCTGAAAAGTGAAATCGCCCCCTGGGGGGCAATATCGCCCAGGTTAAGAACCACTGAGTTAAAGGATACTTATATCTCTTATCCATTAATAAGAGCCATAATTATCCATATATACAAATATTAAAAAGATACAATTAAAACCTTAAAGAGAACATTGTGGCTGACATTCAATTTATTATTTTATTGTTATATTTTAAATAGAAAGTGCGTGAATTCTTTCTTCCTTCCTTTTTATCAAAAATCAAAACAAAACATTCAAGAAGTTACTTGACTGCACACTTCTTCCGCTTATGTACCTGGAGACAAAAGGCCCCTGGAGAGAGACTTCATGATGTATAATAATTTATCCTTTAAGGGAACTAATAGAATCCTGTGTTGCATTCTGTACTCTCATTTAGATTTATCACTGAAAATATTTAATCACATCTCATTGAATTACATCAATTTATTAGCACTTCAGATTTGCTTCACAAAAATTGTTTCTGAGAGCCCTGGAACACAAAGAGAATGTGTCTGCCATGCCCTAAAGCAGTCTAACCTTTTTCTAAGACTGCTCTCCAAAGAATTTTTGGATACTGAATCTGAAGCTTCAACCAACATACTAGTGAACGTTGATTTATGACCAACATCATAAAGACGTTGACCAGAGATGGAATCTTTCTATGTTTGAATCTCTCTGTATGTACATCATGTTATGTATCAGCTGGATATCTTCTTTTAATAATGTAGCATAAGAACACTGAGACATTTGAAAACTGGGATCCTTGGTGTTTTCTGAGCTTGCTGGTTTTCTTGCAGACATTTCATTACCAAATTGGTAATATCAGCAGTGCTCTATTGGTATATTTGAAAAGAACCAGAACTGGATTATTTCTTAAAATAGAGGTGGAAAAAATGGTATTCTCTAGAAGTTGATAACTAAAACTATTTTTATATAATTCTATGATGGTTGCAGGTCTATAGAATACCTCTCTTGAGTTATAGGATGAAACAATCCAGCTTTTAAAAACTATTTTATATATGTTATGCTGGAAATTAACATCAAGCTCATTAGAACCTACTTTCCTAGGACTAATACCATGCTTAAATAGGTAGGCTTATAATTTATGGTTTTCAAGTGACTTGTTAAGCCAGCTCTCAAGCTAGGAATTTCAGAAAATATACATGGGAATTAGCAATTACTGATAGCAATAGCAATAGCACTTAGACTTATATATCACTTCACAGTGCTTTACAGCACTTTGTAAGTGGTTTACAGAGTCAGCATATTGCCCCCAACAATCTGGTTCCACTTTTTATTGACCTCAGAAGGATGGAAGGCTGGGTCAATCTTGAGATGGTCCAGATCGAACTCCTGGCAGTGAGCAGAGTTAGCCTGCAAGACTACATTCTAATCACTGCGCCACCAATTGCTTGTCACTTGAAAAAAGGCTATAGAAAATAGTAAAATAGAATGATGCAATCTAATAATTTCAATGAACAAAAAAGAATTATTAACAGTATAACATGCATTTTCTGTGCCTAGGATATTTCTTATTTGTTGCAATCTCATTCTTTTTAACTATCAATACTCTTGATCTGGCTTCTGAATAATCAGTAAAAATTATTCATGGTAGACACATATCCCTCAGCATTTTGTGACATTGTTTAATGTGACCCTTACAATCATGTAATAGTCTTGATAAATATTGTCTTAAGTATTTTATTCACAATATTATGATGCTTTTGCATGGATAATATGAAACATACTTTCAAACAAGCAATAGACAGTAGAAAACTGTACTGATCTCAATAATGATTTATTATTTATATTTCATATTTCTAAACCACCCATCTTCAAAGAAAGGCTTGGGCAGTGTGTAATATAGTATAACAAATAAATATAACAAAAGATTAAAATTAAATTAGGATCAAAACATTTAGAATGATAGAATAATGACAATTCAACATCAAAAAGGGGAAAAGAAAAAAAATCCTAAGAAAGCCATTTAATCATGGCTATTACAGCCTGGGGGGGGTGGTGGTGGTTCTCATGGGAGTTGCTAGCCTCACAGCTGAGTGGTCTTCTGGATCCCCTCCACAAGGCCGCAGAACCAAGTTTTGACCCCTTTGAGAAGACTAAGAGATTGGGGCTTTCCCCACCTCTGGGGGCAGCATGTTTCATAAAGCAGGGCAGAGAAGGCTCTCTTCTTAGACTGCTGGTTGAAATTCTTTGACTAACAGTTCTGCAGCATGCCTTCCCTGCCTGATTGAGTGAGACAGGCTGATGAGATAGGACAAAGCCGGTTCTGTATGTAACCTGGTTTTATGCCATGTAGACCTTTATAGATGATGACCAACATTTTGAATTGGACTCAGAAACAAACTGGTACCCAGTTCAGTTCATGAAGCAAAGGTGTTACATGTGCTCTTCTTGGGCCACCCACTATGACCACACACACATGGTGCAATCAGAAGCTTCCAGATACTTTTTGGGGATTGCCCCATGTAAAATGCATTGCAATAGTCCAATCCAGAAATGACCAGGACATGAGTGACCAAGGAAAGAGCCTCCCTACCAGCAAAGGACATAGAATTATTATTGATTATCCCAGTTAAATTAATTATCCTGATTAACGATTCCTGAGGGTGCTAATATGCATATGGACCTTCTAAGAATTGTTGACAGCTTCTGTATGACAAACTTGATTATCCACTCAATATAAAGATAACTATTTGAAAAGACATCAAATGTATGGTTTTCAGTTGTGCTTTAATATTTTATTTCATTTCCAAATGCGATAAACCCACAGTGGCCAAATATTCCTTGCCATTTCATTACTTCTGAAGTGGAAATTTAATATAAAACTTCAGACAAATTATGGTAAAGACACATTTTTGATTCTGTTATTGAGAATAGCAAATTATATTTAACCAAGAAAAATTAAATTGAAGAATGCACGGATGTGCAATTTTTCCAGCTGGAACTAAGTGTTCATGGGAGCAATATATTACAAGCCACCTTCATGTATTTCCAGATATAAAGAGGAATCATGTAATGACTGGACAACATTTCTATGTCCCTGGAAGTGATTTGGTATTGGCTGTTTTAGCTTTAATGGGTATGTGTTGAGAGTGGATATCTGGAAAAGAATACCTAATATATGACAGCTCTTTCCCTTAAACTAAATCTATGCAATGCACGGAGGTCAGTTACGTTTAGCCAATGTTCACACTCATTTACTTTATCGTAAGGGTAACCAATGAAATCCTTTGGAACTTTTCCAGTTGTAATTGTCTTCCTACCTAAAACACTACAATATTGTCTTAGGAGAATGGAATAGCCAGAGAATAAGTTTCTTTAAAAAGCCCTATGTTGAATTATAATATCATATTCTATATATAAAGCCATCTTTTATCATCTCCTAGCTAGTATAAATGCTAACATAATCATATTGATTTGTCTGTAGAGAATAGATATATCAACACACGAGAAGACTTTATTTCACTTTTTACCACCACAGTTTTCCAGCCAAACAGCTTGCCTGGAAATGAAAACTGCACAGAGAAAAGCAAAAATGAGAAGTTATATATTGTACGTTAAGGTCCTGCCCATTAAACTGTTGAATCAAATGTCAAAATAAGACTGATGTAATTGTCTTTCTGTTCAATTGAATTTCTCTGCTTAACATATTTAAGCTACATTTTTTGGTCAGAATGGATGACAAAAACTGAATTGTTTGGCTTTCCTTCCTTTTGACTTTGTTGTAGCATGATACTCGAGCATATTTTAGAGAATGTGTCATCTGAAATTGTATTTTGTTTTCTCTCTAGCTATTGATCTCATAAATAATTTGTTGCAAGTTAAAATGAGAAAACGTTACAGTGTGGACAAGACATTAAGCCACCCTTGGCTGCAGGTAATGCTATAAATTTCATACCTTTTACCTTTTTTTTATTTGTAGTTAAGATAACAGTTTACCACAATTGCTACAAATGTAAGCACAATTACCTGGACATTTGAAAAACAAGGGGCTGGTTAAAATGCTAATAGCCTCCTGTCCAGGCGGGTCCACTATATGATGAGCTTTCCAGAATCCAAGTGTAATTCTACCTGAATTATACACAGTGTTGCCTAGATGACGAGAAGTTATGATGCACTACATACTTTACTGTCCTGGGGTTCAGAACTGCCAGAATCCTGGAAGACTGTTGCCATTTAATGTACACCATCTTTCCCCAAATTGGCATCTCTGACATGATTGGATTTCAAATCCTACCCCCAAGCCTCGGTGACCTAGGAATCCTGGAACATAGATTAAACTGAAATAGTTGAACTAATGGTCCATCTGCATATTGAACATTTAATCTTTATCTGAACATTTAAAAAGTAAGGGGCACCATATCTCTTATTACTAAGAATGTGAAGCGTTTACTATATTGTTTATACACTCAGTGTTTTTTTTTAATATTAATTAAGATTGTTATTTTGTATTACAGGATTACCAAACCTGGCTAGATTTACGAGAACTTGAATTCAAAATAGGTGAGCGTTATATCACCCATGAAAGTGATGATTCCCGGTGGGAACAATATGCAGGAGACAATAGTTTGCAGTATCCAGCACACCTTATGAGTCAGAGCCTTAAACACAATGAAAATCCTGAACTAGAAGAAGCAGAGTTGAAAGCGCTCAGTGAGCGTGTCAGCATCCTTTGAATCACAATCTGTCAAAACCACTGTGGAATTTAATAAATACATACGGTCATGTTTAACTTTTGCTTTGTAGAACATGCCATTAATTTTTGTCTGATGGGAACAAAGCTGTTATGCTGTTGCCACCATTGATGTATGGGAGTTGCCAAGTCAAATCAACAGATTATTACTATTGTTATTATTATTATTTGTGAACAAATGTGTTATATTAACAAAAAAAAAAGTTCCCAGGAATAATTCACCTGTTGTTGTGAATGATTTCTATTATACGTTAAGCATCCAGACCTGTTTCCACTGTGCCTTTTCAGGTGAAGATTTTCTCTTAATCAAACTTTTCTGTCTCAGATGGAACTGGCTGTTCTTTGGTTTTATGTGCAGCATGGATGAGCATTGTGTGCAAACTCTTGAAGAGTAGATTACTACCACTGTTCTGTGAACAACTTTTTACTGTTTTTTTTAAAATAAAGTTAAGGACTTGCGATTTTTGTTCTTGCCATGAAACCGTGTATTGGCATCCTGATACCAGGAAGCATGAATAGAAATTGTACAGTTGCATAGTAAGGGTGCAGCCAATTTTCAAGCATGGACACCTTATAATGGAAACTGCACCCTCTTCTTAGTAGCTTATTTCCTTGTTCTTATACAGTCTGCTGTAAATTGTACATTTAGAAGCTGAGCAAAATGATATTTTCATGAATGTTTTGAATAAAATTCTGCTTAAAGCACTCAAAACTTTGAATTACTTTGCCAGGGTCAATGGTTGCCAGGCTTAACCCAAGAGCATTTGTTGAATAATAATTATAAAGACTCTGCAAAATTACTTTCTAACCCAAAACTTTGTTGCCTCTTGCAAAATAGGTTTTTGCTTTTTTTTTTTTTTTTCCTCCGGGTGCTTCAGAACTATTTCTGGTAATATTTGAAATTATTTTATTGTTGATTGATGATGCAGAATGTGATTGCTGTGCTTACAGAGAGTCTATAGAACACTGAAAATATAGTTGTATAATAAGGCAGGACATTCATACATATCCCTTAGCCATCTTATAACTAAAATAAAGGCCTGAGTCTGGCAGTCCTTTCATCAGAACGTATTTTACATCAGACTAAAGGAAAGAAATGTGGGAAATTGTTGGCACAGCACTAGATTATTTATTCTCTTCAACGTAATCACAAACCAGTGTTGTGATTCTGAAGATAATTATGCTGAAGATATTATTCAGATCTGATCAATTTTGGAATTACTTGCAATGCTTTTATATATATATATAAAACCAGCTTTAGCAACCAGCTTTAGCAATCAGCTTGTTGTCTTTTCAATGCAGGCATGGTTGAGATTCAGTGGCCATTAATGGGGTTGTCTCTTTGGATAAATGAATTTGCAAAGATCAATGACAGTCACTTTTAGTAAAAATTTGTAGTTATTTCTAGGGGAATGAGAGTAGGAGGTAGAATACATCCATTGTACATTTAATTCATCTTACTTTCAGGTTGTAGAACTTACATACCAGGATAAAAGGATCAGTAGCAGATGTCATTGACAGAAGAAAATGCTGATTGAGATGTAATACTTATATCCAGAAGAAATGACCTTACAGTCCCAGAACAAAATCCATTTTTAAGATGTGCAAAAACGATCAGGTGCTCTCAGCATACCAACCCAAGCAATTTACTATTCCATTAGTAATTCTTCAAAGCTAACTTTTTATAATGCATTTTAACTTCCTTTGAGTAATAGTTGCTAGACCTTATTTAATGGTGAATCTGTTACTTATTTTTAAAGTGTATTTATAAATACTGCCCATCTGTGTCCGCAAACCAGTCAGCAAAACAAAAGGACAAAAGATTCTTTTTTACAACAAGCAGAAGATCAGCAAATGTCTGAGAAAACTGCAGCTATTACTGGGTCTTGCAAAGTTAGTAGTGATGGAAGCAACAAGAATTGTCTAAGGAAAGAGTGTTAGAAATAAATTGGTACAGAAATGACACTCTTTTGTATATTTATAACTCTTGCTTCTAATTCAATTTGTGCCTTAAAGTCTGTGATGACTCCTGGTGACCATCTGGACTAGTCTCTGTAGTTTTCTTGGCAGGTTTTTGGAAGTGCTTTGCCATTGCCTTGTCCCTAGGCTGAGACAAATTGACTGGCCCAAAGTCACTGGAATGACTTTGTGCCTAAGGTGAGCCTAAAACTCAAGGTTGCCCAGTTTCTAGCCCAGTCGCTACTATACCAGACTGGCTCAAAGCATATTAACAGAGTTAATTCTAAAGCACTTCACAAAAGAAGGCAATGTATAACCTCGCCACGAACTGTTTCTTTATATATTAAAGGAAACACTTCATACCATGCTTGTAAACAATCTGGAAATGTGATCTTGATTCAGGAGCAGTGCTGTACATTCATTTCAAAGGACACAAGAAATGCATTGCAGTATTTTAAGGGATTGTATTTAAGGCATAAATAGCTAGTTTGATGTAGTGGTAAAGCCACCAGAAAGAAATAAATCAAAAGGGCATGACTTCTAGTTCTGCCTAGACAACTTTCAGCCAGCTGTAACCTCTTAGCCTTAGGAAGAGGCAAAAGCAAGCCACCTCCAAAAATATTGTCAAGAAGACTCCAGGAATTAACGAATGTTAATGTTAAAAAACTGACTTGAAAAAAACCCAAAATAACAGTAAATAAAACATGAACAATTATGATCAGATAAGCTCTTACCAAATAATCCCAATGGTGCCCTTAATCAGATTGTATCCTGAATTATCTACATTTTCACATGCTAAGATGCTTAGAAAAGCTTATAGTGGTTGACCATGACAAACATGAATTTGGATCTTCAGAAAGAACACAATACCATTCAAAAGAGAAATCACAGTATTTTAATCACAAAATGAGAGAGGTCAGATAGAAGTGAATTTTATCTTTAATTTTCAAATTTGTGATGTATTGTTGTCATTTCTAAATAATGAAGAAAAACTATTTGGTGCAAGATAAAAAATGGCGAGTTTTTATTTGGCCAAGTTTTATTCCTCACGCTGAAAGTAACTTTAAGGGCTCAATCTTGGAAAAATGTTAAACAACTTAAATGTTGAATGTAATATACAATGAAAATCTTTTCATGGTAATATTTTGGAATTTATATAATCATTTAAAAAATGTAGAAAATTATTTTATGAAATAGCATTCAACAGTTTATGCTCATCATAGCATATTTGTAATGCATGATGCCTATAGGTAGTCCTCAACTTACAACCATAATTGAGCCCAAAATTTCTGTTGCTAAGTAAGACATTTGTTAAGTGAATTTTGCCCCATTTTATGAACTTTCTTGCCACATTTGTTAGGTGAATCACTTCAATTGTTAATTTAGTAACATGGTTAAGTGAATCTGGCTTTCCCATTGACTTTGCTTGTCAGAAGGTTGCAAAAGATGATCACCTGACCCTGGGAATGCTGGAATGGTGTGAAAAACGGTCATATATCACTTTTTGAGTGTTGTTGTAATTTTGAATGGTCACTAAATGAACTGTTGTAAGTCAAGGACTACCTGTATCTATGCAGACTTTTATGTACTCAGAACAACAGAGAAAAGAAGTGAGGATACAATACATTCATCTCTTGAACAAGGAGCATAGCCAATTTAAATGTTCTTTTCTTCTCAGCAGTTAAATTTCCACTGCATATTTCTCAGTTGTTAGACAAAGAATGCGATAGAATTGAAATGTTTGTGGCATCAGCCCTTCAGCTACAAAACTGAAGTTCTACTCTCACCTCATAAAATTATCCAAATGAAAAATGAAGAAAATACCACCACACAATCAATTTATCAAATTATTAACCAATTTATCAAATTATTAAGAAAAAATCTGAAATGGAACCATAAGTGACACAGCAACTTGACAACTCCAGAAAAGTCCTACTCATCAAATTAATTAATTTTTAGAACTCTACAACTCCATCTACTACTACTGTCATTGTCATAGCTCTCTGCTACTAGCAGCAAGCTGACAGGCCCTAGCCTAGTCCCTGCTATGAAGATATTCCAATAAAATGTCAGATGTACAGCCATTTTCTTGGACTGATCAGCTTTTTAGTACTGAGACATCCTCATCTCAAATTTGCAATGAGAAGAAGCCATTGTAGAGATTGCTGTCCCAGTATACCATGTGATATAAGTGGTGCAGCAGATCCCCTGGACTGCCTTGTCTGGGTGTGGAAGCATGTCCTTTTGCTATTCCAAGAAAGAGCCAGCCAAGCTCAATAAGCTGATGTCTCACCCATAGTAGCACTCTAAGCAGGGTCCATGAGTCTATCATTCTAATTTACCCTTGTCAGAGCAACACTGCAAGCTGCAGAAAAACATATGTGACCTGCAAGCTTACATAAAAGATGTCTGCTGAAAAAGAAGTTGGAGTAGAACTGAGTTCATAGGTTGCTTTCGTTAGTGAAATTTCTTTCTGTGAGTCCCTGAATTGTGAAATTCTGGAGTATCTTCTGAGGTAACCAATGGTGTTAAGGTAAGACTGATTTAGAATTTTGCCTCTGCCAGTAAGAATCACCATTGGCTTAGAATCTTTTCTGTGAATGAAAGGAGCTGTTTTGTACATCACAAGCCATTTCAGGATACAAGCTGCTAAGTTTACCTGCTGACACTGTTGTGAAACCATAGAGGAAAATGCACAGCATGCTTCCTTGAGCTCAGAAGATACATGTTTCTGTCACAGCTGAGAAGAAATACAGTAGGCAACTTGGTGTCCTGTAGATGTTTTGGACTTCTAATTCACTTAATCCCAAGGCATTAGGTCCAATGCTGAAACAGCATCAGTTGCCTTCTCCCAAGCTCAAAGATAGAAAAAAACATTATCTAGAACTCCTATATAAAAGTCAGTTCTAGGGTGGTTTAAGCTTCACTTGCTTCTATTTTATTTTCATCAAAGAATATTAAGCTACTTTATTTGTTCTCAGAAGAAGATAACTTTTGAACTGGGCAATCCAATAAAAAAATTCATATTCAATATCCTTGCAAATATTTTCAAAACAAATCAGCTATGCTTTGTTGTGTCTAAATGCAGTGGAATATAAAGAAAACATAAAGCCAACTGAAAAACCAACAACTTCCTCTGATGTGGCACAAACTGTCTCATTATCTTCTATTGTATTGTTTTCAGTTAAAATTCTTTTAATCATAGAATGCCAACTGAATCATTACTCTACACAAACATACACACACACACACACAAACAAACAATAATGGTCTCCAAGAGAACTTGCCTTTGAAAATGTGTCAAAATTGGAGATACATGCAAGAAAACACCACAAATATGGCTTTTGTATAGCTGAATTTTTCACAATTATTATAATTAAGTTAAATTTTCTCTGACAATAGCAGGATACATGAAATCTGCAAAGTATTTAACTTTCATTGTATTTGAAAACTTACCAAACCTGTTTGTTGTTGGAAGTTATACCTAGAGATTAAAACTGATAGAAAAGAGGATGCAAATTAGTATAATCTTTCAAAAGGCTGCATTTTGAATGAGATGTTTGCTTTCCAACTCAGAAACTGGATCATATTTCATGACCAAAGCTTGCTTTGAATTATACCCTTGAAAGTGCAAGAGAAGGAGTTGGCAAGGGTAGAGGAAATGAGGTGACTATTGTGCTGAAATGAACATGTTGTTATTTGTGTGTTTGAGTTATGTAGCCTAACTTTTTTTAGGAATAGAAAAG